ACTATTTGTGCATTTCTGTGTGCGAGGGACCATGTAGAGTTGGTGCAGTGGGTGGCCTAGTGGTTAAAGCGTTTGCTTGTCACATGGGAGATCCGGGTTTGATTCCCAGCAATGGGTACAATATGTGAAGCCCATTTCTGATGTCCTCTGCTGGAATTGGAATATGGCTAAAAGTGACATAAACCATAACCGTAACCACTCACTCACTCACTCACTCACCCACCCACCCACCCACCCTCCCTCACTCCAGTGAAATCCATGTTTTTAGTTATATTCAATTTTATATTGTCATAACTATCAGAGTTACAACTGATTTAAAAAAACTGAATGTACTTTGTTTTGAACATGGAGCAAGATTGTCCTTTTGTATTTTTCCTCCTTCACATGAAACATGAAAATCTGTCAAAATAGCTAAATAAATGTTCTGACCCTGTTCAACTTCAAAATTTGACAAAAAGGAAATTAAGAAAAGACTCTAAACAAATTGAACTTGTAATATGACGTTACAAGCCATCATGGTGAAAGTTATTTCCAAATAACATATGTACCCATAAAAATCTGAAATGGCAGGCATAGTGTAGCAAAAAATATAAGTGTGTGAGTATGGTTTTACACTGCTTTTAGCAATATTCCAGCAATATTCCAGCAATATCACGGCAGGGGACACCACGAATGGGCTTCACACATTGTACCCATGTGGGGAATCAAACCTGTGCATTCAGCGTGACAAACGGACACCTCAACCATTAGGCTACCCCACTGCCCCTCAAACAAATGTGAAGATATGCAACTATTAACACTAATCTATGCACATTTATGATTCATTACATTACACTGAAATAGCAATATGACAAAATAAGACATTAATGTCTATCAAATCCCACTATTCCGTGTCCCTGGGCAACAATGAGTTTATTATCTTCCTTTCATCTTCGAACAGGAACAACCTCAAACAGTCAGAGTATTTACCCGTGTGGTTTCCATCATATTTTATATCATAATTTTCGTACTGAGAAACAAACAACATTTATCAACAAAATAATAATTTGAAACATTGTACCAAAAATATTATGAACATCACTGACTATTTCAAAGCATTATTCATTCAGAACACATTTAGGAGGAGAAACAACATACTTCAGATTTGATATATTATGTTTTACGGAATATTTTAACAGAATCTGGGACGGCTTTTAAAATTTGACTACGCCTCCATCAGTCCCAAATACTGAGAAATGGACAAAAATTGCATGTTATAAAAATATTTGTGTCACTACTGATCCATTTGCATTCATATATAATATACCCATGGAAACGAATAATGGAACACATGAAAGTTAAAGTGTTCCTTTATTTATTCCCCGAATTTCACCCACTGTGCACTGCTTATCTTGTGAAGAAACCTGGAAAAGAATACAGGAACACTTCTACTTTCATGTGTTTCCTTATTTGTTTCCATGAGTATAGTACATTTCTTTAATCTTGCACTGTAACGAGATGACTGTCTCATCGTTTTGGCATTAAACTCAATACAGGAGGAATCAATGCTGCAATGATTTTTGTGAGAATGTTGATAGTAATGGTACAAATTCCAGCCAATCAGGGAAGCTTCCCTTGTCATGTCAGAATTATCCTAATAAAACGCAAATATTGTGGATGACAACTTCTTTTTTTTGTATATCACAAAGTTTCTGGGCTATTCCTTGCCCCTTGCCCCTTTTAGGGAACATCAGGAGGCCAATCAGAAAAAAATCCATGGGTTAACTCTGAACTTTGGTTTAATGTGGTTTTTACCAAACCTCCAAAGCACCTGAAGATGGAGAACATTATTATTCATACATGTGTCGAGAGAAAAATGATCTGAGATTACAAAACTGCACTGAATCAATTGTAAACAAAGACCACATTGACCGGTTATTGTAGACGTACACGTGATGCATAATGGAAACGGGAGGCTTTTCATCACATGACTTGTTGGCCACATCTGCTGTTGAGTATATTTTTACATATAGGTGTTGAACAGGACAGGATTGATGAAACTAGTGAACGGATCTCTTAGGACTGGGCTGTTGATACTAGTGAACAGATCTCTCCCCTGACCAGACCATTCATAGCTAAGGCACAGATTTCTCTCCTGACAAGGCTCTTGAAGCAAATAAACAGATCTCTTTCCAGACCTTGTTATCTTAACGGCTGAACAGATCTTTTTCCTGACAGGACTGTCAGAGCTGATGACCCGGGTGCCGTTAAGGTTATTGCAACTCGCTAAGGTTATTGCAACTCACATACCTTAACATAGACTGACTGAGTTTGGTTTTTCGCAGCTTTTAGCAATATTCCAGCAACATCACGGCAGGGTACACCAGAAATGGGCTTCACACATTGTACCCATGTGGGGATTCAAACCCGGGTCTTCGGCGTGACGAGCCAACGCTTTAACCACTAGGCTACCCCACGGCCCCCTTAACATAGACTTACAGCGGTCTTTGTACAAAGGTCTAATGGAATTCAGATTTTTGTGACAACCTTGCTATTTATTGTAACTCTACAATTTGGAAACTGGATGATAAAATACTTTGCCGGTTAGTTTATGGGTCAAAGATAAATGAAGCTTAACTATTGTTGCAGTCTTGAGAGTGTTCAGGAAATCCAGCTCTCAAGTTTACAGGTTTACTGATTAAACAATAAATTGAAATGACATAAGTGTTGTGATGTTTCAAGTTTAACTGGATCATCAATAGGTATGGGCACGATCATTTTCACAATGGCACACCTGGTTGTTCGCCAATCCCTACTCATTCAATAAATGAAAATTTGTTTGAATTACAAACTTTTCAGTGAGAGGAAACTAAAATGGGCGCGCCTCACTGTATACATGCTGCATATAGGATCCTGGTGCGGAGCAAAGAACTTGATGATGTAACTATAGCAACCATTACACTTCTGACTGAGATGGGATTTGAACCTTGGACGCCTTGTCTTCATGATCAAAGAGTTTAACTTGAAAATGAGAAAAATTATGCACCTGCTCAGAGGCCAATATTCTTCACCATGACTGAAACAAATGTCATCAGAAATTTCCTATTTGATGTTAAAGTGTGTAACTGTTTTATGGATAACACAATGCCATTTAGAATTGTATTTAACTAAGAAAGTGAAATCCCAAAATATAACACATGTTTTATGGATCTGTAAAGATAATCTGTACTTCTGTGATAACACAAGGACAGCGGGTTAGCCTAGTGGTTTAAGTGTTTGCTCGTCCAGCTGAAGACCCCGGTACGATTCCCTACAATGTGTTAAGCCCATTTCTGGTGTCCCCTGTCATGATATTGCTGGAATATTGCTAAAAAAGTCTGTAAAACTTAACTCACTCGCTCATTCTGTGACAACAGGACCAATGAATTGGAACAGATTTAATGCTCAATTTTAAATCATTGCATTGAATGCAATCTTAAGTACTGTGATAAAATACTGCTAAAATTTAAACAAGGGCTTTTTAAAAAAAAGAAACACAACCGTTGATTTGTTTGCCAAGAGCGTTCCGGTTGAATATCCAGGATAAATAATTGAATACACAAAGATATTTTTTCAGGTAGATAACTCAATGTTTGACTTGCAACAGAACATAACACCTATAAAACAAACAAATATAACATTATCAAACATAGTCTTTGTCTCAATCAGTTTGTATGGGGGCCTCTCTCCAAGACCAAATCAGTCATACAGGCCCTGAAACAAAATATATCGAAGAAAGCCCATGCAATTCTAGAATATGTGGCAAGTCTAGATTTCCACAGTTTCTAAAAATGAAGAAAGTCCCTGGGCTACTTTTCACTATATTTTATGCTTATGTTTTATGAACAGTTTTTTTCTGTAAAATATGTTCATTTCAGAGACTAGATGTTAGTCATCCAAGAAATGGAGGAACAAGTTTTAAAAAAGTCTAGAATAATTGGGCAAGTCTAGATTGCCTTGGGTATTAATGAAATAAACTTTGTTCTAGGCTCCTTTTGAATTTAATGATTTTTTTCATATAAATATTTTAAGATATATTTCTGGGACAAAATGTAAACCTAGTACATTAGTGTAGTAGGGGGATTAAAATGTCTAAATCTTCAGTCTGTGCTGGTGACCTCAGCATGACCAGGAAATCCCAGCATGCAGCTGTGACCTTGCCACTGGCATGTACTGTTAATATTGCTTATGCTATCAACTCCTGGTGTGCCTTATTTCAGGCTCAATAGAGACTGCTGTGATTCAGGTGTAATATTACTGACTACTGCAGAAAAAAAACTATCATGTTAATTTGAAACCGTAATAGGAATTCCATTAACCAATCTAAAATTGGATATATTCTCAGTTTTAAACAAAATCAAACAAATATACAAGAAAAAAAATGAGGCACAGGTGTTTATGTGCCATTAAGGAATTAATTAAATAGCTTCATCAATTTCATATCTATAGTGTTAATGCAGTAAATAGGTATATGAAGAAATTCACAAAATAATTATATTAATGGAACAATTTGTAAATATAACTGGTATTTTTTATGGCCAAGGATATGTTGCATATATATTCAATGAGGCCATATGTACTTGTATGTGTCTGTGTGTGCTCTGATACAATTATGATTTTATCCGTCATGAATAAAAACTAATTGATAAAGTGACTCAATATCAGTATTAAACTTATAATATAAGAATAACAGAACTGATTTTGAGAATGGATATAACATTTTCGCACTAAAGCTGTCCAAACCTGTTCTAATCACACCTGGTGTAAAAATACGCCTTGAGCAGTGCAGTTGCATTTCCTGCACAGCTGCTGTCTCAATGTATGCAGATTGCAACAGTACAGATTATCTCAGTCCCATTCGTCAACTGCCTCAAAATATGATAATTTACACTGAAAATAACATTCCAAATATCAAAGAATTTACAAATAACGCCATCGTGAGCGGTTGACCGTGACGGTAATTTATGCTGGATGGAGCTTACCTGTTATCTTGTTGATCATTCATGCATGGCGTTTGACCTGATGTCGCGGCCACAAACTGTTCATATTCATAATTATGCCAGCTTTGATTTTGTTGTCAGCTGCATAACTTACTGGTATATGTTCGCTAGTGTCATAAATGATACGAAATATGAGTTGAAATATTGAATTGGATGAATTTACCTGTTGTGCAAACTCCTGCAAACACGTCAGCTCTTCACTGGCCGGATCCAGGGGAATCCTCATGAATTCTAAAAATAGAAACCGGCACGTTGAGAAAAGGGACAGTATTCGTCCGCATTAAGCGGTAGAGAAAATAGTTCCGTTATATTCAATTTTAGACATCTAGATATGCTTTAAACTATATATACTGGTTGTTGTTAATAAAACAATTATTAACGACGACGAGGGAATTTTTGCTTGCATTGTGAGGTATTTGCATGTGCATAATAGTTGCCCGTGCTTATAAACTGAAACCGGTTCACAAAACTGGTTCACAAAATACAGCGTTGATAAACAAGGAGTACTTCCGTCTGTGTGTCGTACAGGGAATCCCCAACACGAGCAACATGAAGACAGCAGAATTAGAAGTTAAACAAAGAGACCTCTTGTACAGATTGATTATCAGGTGTGACATTGTGCATGTTTCGTAAGAACAGTACCTTGTACTGTATGCATTTATCAATCCGGTAATTTGAGGTTAACTCGTAGCTACTTTCACAAAGTGCATGGTAGCCGGTCATCCCAGAACAGCAACAGAAACGTATCCATTTAATGTCTTGGAATCTTTTCGACAACAATTTCAAAGTAATTTATGAAGGACAGTTAGAGGGATTCGAAAACGAAAGAGCTGGTCGATAAAAACGACTTTTTGCAATTTTGTTATCAAATGTGGCTGCAAATTCCAGTAATGTGTTCAGACAGACCAAAATAGTAGGCAAAATATGTCTGAAGAGTCGTTGTTGACCCGGCAAGAACAGACAGGTGCCAAGATACTATTCAGCATACAGAAATGTACCCCAGCAAAATTTATGATACAGGATAGTACTCAGTACCCCAAACACTGATCCATATTCCTTAACCCAAAACTGAAAACAGTTCGAATCATGATATTATTTTTGCTCACCTGATTATGAGTGTATGGTGGATAAAAATGTGCAGCATGTAGTATGAGAATACTGAATTAACGTTATTGAACATACTCAATTTTTCGTACAGCATGCTGGTATGCCTCTCATACAATGGGGCGGTTTGGTAACCTTATGGTTAAAGCGTCTGCTTGTCATGCAGGACCTGGGTTTGATTCCAGACATGGGTACAATGTGTGAAGCCCATTTCTGGTTTCCACCCACCCCCATGTTATCACATCCCAACCTCGTTGATCAATGCTCATGACATTAATCACTAGACTGTCTCAAGACTCAATTATTAACAGACCACTTTCATGTAGCTGGAATATTGCTTAGTGCAGCATTAAACATGTTAGACAACAAGGATACAAACACATTATGAAGAGACAACACCAGTTATCTCCCTTTGCCTTGAAGTCACAGTGTGTAGAGTGATGGGGCGTGATTACTACACATGGGCGGATCCAGATGGGGGGGGTGGGGGGGTGTGTACGGGATGTGCACCCCCCCTTGTCCTGAAAGTTTATTAATGACCATTGAAACTTGGGTGAAAATGAAGTGTGCACCCCCCATTTTCTCAATAGTGTGCACCCCTCCTTTCTCAAAAAGCTGTATCCACCCCTGCTACATTGTCATTTCAAGATGTCCATGTTATATCGTGGCAAAGGTGCTGATAAAGATTTATGACCCTCTTGACTCGTTATGGAAAAGTTGTTCTTTCCGCATAGGTCAGTGAAATCTGCAAATGCTCAGTAATTAGGACCATTTAATGTTGTGTTTCTTGGGAACTTCATCACTTGTATCACTTGATTCCAGTCAGTTTATCTACGATGGGCACAAGGAACTGGCAGCAACATTTGCGAGTGTCATCAAGCCCCACCCAGCCTGTCCCCCCTCAGACAGACTGCTACAGCTGATGAAGTTGGGACTGAAAGTGGAGGATGGTAAGAAGGCCGTTATCTCATCTTCCATTTCCAGTGTATCATGTAGCCATTATATTATTAACAACAGACTTCCCATACCACAAAGCCAACTCAGTTGTATAACTGTTGATAGTCATTGTTGAAGTATGATTCACGCACACACCTTAAAGCTAATATTGATTTGTGGAGCTAGACCAATGACCCATTCTCTATTGTTGCATTGTTGTTACTATTTTTGCCATGTTTATTTCATTGAGAGGAAAATTATGCATTTTGACTAAGGTGTGACTTAGATAAATCAAAATGGTATTTGTTTTTTAGTTACTTAGGGACCGTTCATAATTTATGGCTAGGGGGGTGATGATGATTTTTAGGGAGAAGCATGTACAATGTGAATGATCCACCCTAAAATTTATGTACATAATAAGTCCCCTGCATGTCATGTACAAAATCAATGACCCCACCTCCCCTACCCATAATTTCTCAGCATAATTTTAAACATATTTCTATGTACAAAATTGATGACCCCCCTAGCTCGCCAGAACAATATGGGTGACAACACCCCACCCACCCCTAGAATCATCACTCCTTAGCCATAAATTATGAAGGGTCCCTTACTTCCTTAAATCTGGGGACCGCCTCCGTGGTGTAGTGATTAGAGCGTCCGCCCGGAGAGCGGAAGGTCGCGGGTTTGATCCCCGACCGCGTCATACCAAAAGACGTTAAAATATGGTACTTGTTGGTCCCTGTCTGGCGCTCGGCATTAATGGGTACAACAAGGACTGGTCGGCTCGGAGTCAGTATACTGTGTCTGAGTGGGGTATTCATGCTTCACTGCGGCATGGTATCTCAGTGGGCTAGCACTATAAAACCAGCTTCAGTCTGAGCTAGTTCAAGCAGCCGCACATACTCATACACACGCATACACGCATGCACGTCGTCATATGAGCGAAATATTCTCAAGCACGACGTAAAACCCAATTTCACCTCACCTCACCTTGAATCAGGGTCATGTTTTGGGGAAACAGGTACCCAAGTCAGTTATGAATGATGTTACCATTGTTTTCTAGAGACAATGGTTTGCTACCATAAGGACATTTGCAAGTGATATTAATTGTCTACTCTCAATAGGGTTTTCTTCCATGTGTAAATATGAATAGAATTTTGAATCATTTTGAATTATGAACACTTTACTGTCATTCTTTCATAGTTTCAGATTAAGATGTAAAAGGCAAGAGGTACTTGCTTTAACAATACAGTACTACTGCAATTTGTTATGTTAAGAACATCATCATTCATTATTTCGGGTAAACTTTCCTGAATTTCACATAACAGAATGACAGAAGCTGAATTGATTTGGCAATACTTTCTTCTGGAATTTATTTATTCATATTTTGAGTTGACACATGAAATAGTTCAGTAAAGTACTGTAAAAATGAACTATGATGCAGCTTTGAAAATCAAACAATTGCAAAAACGTTTTCTACCAGAAGCACTCATAAAATCTCCAACATCATTACACCATCTGATATGGAGAAGTAAACTTTTTCAGTTTCATGAAAACAGCATAGGTAATATCATGTTCTGTATCGCTGAGTGTACAGTCTGTGTTTACAATGAACAAATGGACTATGGAACTGTTTGAGAGAATCACCATTCAGATCTGAGCCTGTCATATGTTGCAACATCTGTTATACCTGTGTACCTTCCTATATGTGTTATTGTGCTTTTGTTTGTTCATATGTTATTATGCTGATATTTATATAGAGCTAATATCCAGCTCAAAGGCGCTTTGTTTTTCCCTTGATCATTGGATGTCAATCTCAAACGGCACATCGTGTTATCAATCTCAACTCCCTGGGGAGTATACAACTCTTGCAGCCACTAGGTGCACCGAGTTAATGTGGCTTTCCCATCCTTACGAGGTACCCCTTCACAGCTGGGTGGACTGGGACACATAGTCACAGTACTTTGTCCAAGTTTACTGCAGGTTTCTGTACCCACAACTAGGTGTTTGCACGTATTCATGTGGCCACCATCTGGTCAAATACCAACGGATTCGTGGGTTCTTTTAAGTGCACAGGGTTGTGTACTGTACAACAAGGGTTGTGACAACACTGAAAGAGTCTGCACACAAAGTTGACTCCAAGGTTTTTACACCCGGTCACAGGTGGGTTTGATCCCGGCACCTCAAGTTCGCTGGATCGCTCACTAGCTAGACGAACTAGACAGCTCGCCCACCATGACCCAAATATGTTGTTTAACGCTGCACTCAGCACTATTCCAGCTATATGACAGTGGTCTGTAAATAATCAGCCCTCACCAGATATGGTACAGACCAGTGACTGACATCATGAGCATCGATCTGCACCTTTGGCATTCAGTGTCATGCATCAACCAAGTCAGCAAGCCTGACCACCTGATCCTGTTCGTTGCCTCTTTCAACTAGCATGGGTTGCTGAATCCTTACCCAGATCTAGTTCCGAGGCAGTAGGGTAGCCTAGTGGTTAAAGCGTTCGCTCGTCACGCCTTTGTTCGATTCCCCACATGAGTACAATGTGTGAAGCCCTTTTCTGGTGTCCACCACCGTGACGTTGCTGGAATAGTGCAAAAAGCTGTGTAAAAATAAACTCGCTCACTCACTCAGATCTAGTTCCTGTAAATTGTTTGTTTCTCTTCCAGATCAAAATGAATCCCGTGCTCTCAACCCTGACATGGTTGCCCCTGGTTCCGGCATCGATCTCGAGTTTGAGACTGAGGGTGAGGCATGATGTTCTTTTCTCATGGTTCCTAACAAGGTTTATAAAGTTTAAGTGATCGGGAGGGAGAGGGAGTGGGGATCATATGTACATAAATATTCTCTCTGCTTCCACAATTTCATTTTCTTGATCAAGGAGTAAGAATACACTTCAAAACTTCATGATCCTCATATTACAGAAGTTGACATCCATATAATGTTTCCCCTTTTATGCGTATCACTTTTGAATGTCATTCTAATATTTTACGGGGTTTATTGCATTTAGCATGTTAAGGTAGTGACATGTCAGGATTATTAGATAATCGATTTACCATTGGGTAAATTTCCGTGTGTTGAATAAAAATTATATGGTGTAAGCCATTAGTAAATATAATGCATGTTTGTTCTTGCCAGTGTGATTACTAAGCAGAAACTTATATCCGGGTTATTAAACTAATTCTTGAAATTACAATTGCTTGAATGTTTTCATAGTTTATGCATTATGTAGTGGTCAAATGTGTGGCATTAAGTATGAGTTGCTTCCCTTTGTCATACCGGGATCCCTTCATGATGGGTTCAAACTGGATCAGGGATTTACAGGACGCGAATTCCTGGGTCCTATACACATAAAAATTGACAATGGACGCAACGAAATTTATTAGCGCATCCACAGGGATGCAGAAAAAGTCCAAATGCTTTTGTAAAAATTCCAATCAAGTAACAATAAGTTATCACTGAGTTTGCTACTAGCTGAGTTATGGTATCATTTGCAGTTTCATTACTGTAACAATTAATGTGATGATCATGATAGACAATACAATAACAGTATTAGTAATAATATTTAAGTGTATGGCACGTCCATTTTGTTGTCCAGGACCCCTGAAAATTATAATTATAACCCTCAAAATCCAAATACAGGACTCAAAGTAAATCCCTGCTAGATTCTCCAAAATTGTGATCCTCATCAGCAAAACCTGACAACATATATGTGTGCTTTACAGTGGACTTTTCTGACACTTTATGGTGACATGCTGTTATAACCCACTCTCTGTTGTTTTCAGTTCAGACAATTTCTGCCGAGGCTGCACTATACGAGACATGCTATGTGACAGCTCACAAGGGGCCATGTAGAGCGGGGGCCTTCCACCACACAGGTCAGGGAGATGTGACCATGACGTTGTCATATAGGGGGCCTGTTCATGAAATAATCAGTTAAATGATCGAACAAGATATTCTTATAAAACAATTATTGATTGCCGATATATGCAGTCAGTGAAGAAATTCAGTATTTATTCTTTGCAGTCTTACTTCTTAAATCCCATCCAAGTATACTGGGTAAAGTTAGAGACATCCATATGATGAGCTGTTTCTCTGCATCCTTTACAGGTCAGCTGATTGCAACGGGGTCTGAAGATGCTTCCATCAAGGTAAGCTAACTGCTACTACTGTATCGCTTCACTGTGAATCATTTACCTGCACAACCAATATCCACACTACCTCACACAACTGTAGCTTTCAACACTGAATATCTAGAAAGGGATTGTGAAAGGGATCCGTTTATGATCATTGTGTCCAATTGACAATTGTTCAGGTGATTAGTTTAGAGGATATATAAAGATGTTAAGAGAGGTTATTGACAGGTGTCCAGTATATAGAGGTGATTGAGAGAGGTTTAGTTTAGTGAGGTTATTGAGAAGTGTCTAATTTAACTGGTTGTGTTTCTTAAGCATGTAATTTCAGCTGAAATTAATATGTATTCCCAACTATTCCTGGAAAGGCTTGTGGAGATTCTATACTAGATGGGTGGTCGTACAGTCTTATATGTCTGGTGACATGTCATTGTTGACCAATCATACTGACAGTGCTCATGCCTTCAGTCACTGGCTGGTGCGGATCCATGTCAGAATCTTCAGCCAACCATTTTTGTCACAAGTGTCGACTCACAGAATTGGGTGCTTACTGACATCATTGATACATGGCATTGTGTCCCAACAGCAAAGATCAATGCTCATGTCAGTCACTGGATTGTCTTGTCCAAACTTGATTATTTACAAACCACCGTGAAGCTGGAATATTACTGAGTGTGGCGTGACAATAGACACTGTGGTTCAGACTCCATTAATTACAGGCAGATCTGATACGATGGATTTTACTGACTGCAGGGTTATCATTTGATCACTGTTGCTCAAACTGTTGATCTGATTCACAGCTTGTTAGTTTTTGTTTACTTCATCGAAATACACATACCTCCCTAAATGAACCGTTGTTGACATACAGTGAAACCTGCCAACACTGGCACCTGTCTAATCCGGCACACTGTCAAAAACCAGCATAAAATTTTTGTCCCGCCATTTTACAACGATATTGTGATGATTAAAACATTGTCTAAACCGGCACCTGTCTATTCCGCATTCCAGCACGACTTTCCTGTCCCAACCAACAATTTTAACTGTAATTAACACTGTAAACCGGCATGGGTATTAGCAGTCCAGTCAAGGACCCATAATCCAATGCACTAATTAATCCTCTTGGCACACTAGATATTCAGGAAGTATTGATTGTGCAGTGAATCAAACGCTCTAAGCCAGCTTGGGTATGAGCAGTCCAGTCAAGGCCTTGGAATTAACACTTGTTCAAAAAAATTCAGCTTAAAAACGTAATTCACTGCTGAAAAAAGAGAATGACGAGTGTAAATGGCAGCCATGTTGGAAAATGATTGCCACTGTCTAATCCAGCACCCTCACTAAACCAGCATTTTATTTCGGTCCCGTGGGGTGCCGGTTTAGACAGGTTTCACTGTAATTACATTGTCTGACAGTTACATGTCGAGAAGCGTTTGATAACTGATTCACCTTTAAAAGAACATTTGCTTTCACAGCAGAAAAATTCTAGGTGGGCTTCCACACCAATATCAATTACCAGATAATATTTTACTCATTACAAGGAGACATGTCTCATATTCAATTGGGTATCTCTTTGTCAGTACATGTTTTGAAATATCTAGGACACATACATACGGTATTGAAAAACATTATTGCAAAGAGAATCAGTAATATTTTTTTTTAATTGAAATGGTTACTTTTATCAAGATAAGTGGTTAATATAGTTATTTTGTTTCCAGTAATAATATCAGGAAGTGTCTGAAGCTCTCATAAAATATCCACTTTTGTAGTGACTGAATTTGTTCTGCTGGGCCCAGTGAGTGAGTTTAGGTTTGCACCGCACTCAACAGTATTCCAGCTATCTGGCGGTAGTCTGTAAATAAACGAATCTGGACCAGACAATCCAGTGATCAAGCAGTGACCCAGTGCAATTGAGATACGATGACATGTCAACCAAGTCAGCGAGCCTGGCCAGCCAATTCCGTTAATCGCCTCTTGCAACAAGCGTGGGTTGCTGAAGATCAATTCTAACCTGGATCTCCACGGGTTCTGCTGGACCCATGTTCTGATGCAAATGATGCTAATCTATGTTGTGTTATCTCCTATTTGTCCTGTCTTTTCTTTTGTTGAAATTAACAGTATTTTGGAAAATAAACTCTGTGTACCGGTAACATATGTAATGTTTCTCTGTAGATCCTGGATGTGGAGAGAATGTTGGCGAAAAGTGCAACACCTGCAGAAATCATTGCCATGGAAACTCCTCAACAGCAGATGGAGAACCATCCTGTCATCAGGACTCTGTACGATCACAGTGGGGTAAGAATTTAGCATCATATCCCATGACATACTGGAATCATTGCACAAAACATTTTCTTATTGTTTCCATGACAACAACTTGACAAGCACTTGATACACATCCCCCTGTCCTTGTCAACATACTAAATATATGGTACAGTAGGACAGTGCTGATTTTCATGTTATCTACTTTTGAAGTTGGTAAAGTTGGTATTAATGGGTGATGATTGTGATTTACAAGTAAACCTTCTACTCTTCTACTCATGAATAATTCAAATGAAACCTTTTTCTGACTTGAATGAGCACCACAGTGTTCCAAATACTGTACTGAAGCATCAGAACTTTCTGTTCAGAGTTGTCTCCCTTAGGTGTGCCAGAAACCTATAACTGAGTTTGAAGTCAAGATTCATCCTCGGTGTTTTCAGCAAAGTACCTGTGCTCAAACGTAACTTCAGGCTTTCTATTCACATCCAGCTATCCCTGACATCAGGTTCATATTGACACTCAGAGATGGAATGGGCATCAGATTAAGATAGTTCAGATGCTATAGATGTGAAAAAGGGGGTTGAGATTAAGACAGTTCAGATTCACTGAGATCAGACTGAAATGGTTCAAGTTTGATGAGATAGGTGAGCAATGATGATGATTTATACTCTCTGGGTATAGGGGCGGTGGGGTAGCCTAATGGTTAAAGCGTTGGCTCGTCACGCCGAAGACTCGGGTTCGAATCCCCACATGGGTACAATGTGTTAAGCCCCTTTCTGGTGTCCCCCGCCGTGATGTTGCTGGAATATTGCTAAAAGCAGCGTAAAACCAAACTCAGTCAGTCAGTCAGTCAGTCTCTGGGTTTATCTGTGGGTCATCTAGGACAAAGACTGTTCCTAGTTGTTGATTGGTTGGTTTCCTTCTCCAGGAGGTGACTTGCCTGGACTTCCACCCTTTCCACCAGATCCTGGCATCTGGGAGCACCGACTTCAGCATCCGATTCTTCGAGTTCTCCAAGCCCTCAGTGAAGAAAGCCTACAAGAGTATGCAGGTATGGGGTCTCATGTGGTCTCACCTTAGGCAAGTGAGTTTGTTCAAATGGCCTCTGTTCACCCAGCAGAAAATGGGTACCCGGTTGGATAAAGTCATGTGGCTATAACCTTCTAGCGCCTAACAGGCCGCTTGGGTTATCCCAGGCTAATAATAATCCGATTCTGATTAAGCGCCGTGAGCAATCACTTGGTATTTGGAGACTGTGCGCTAAAGAAGATGACATATTATTATTATTATTATTATTATTATTATTAGGGGGGTGTCACATTCCAGCTGATGAGACACATCCTTTTGTAGTGATGAATACAATACATGCAGCTAACAATCTTATGGGAGTAAAGTTTGTTTGGGCTCCAGGATTTCTACAAAATTGTATCAGTGTCATCTCCAGTATGTATTCAAAGTTCTGCATCAATCCATTAATCCTTTTATCATCCCACAATTCCAGGAAGCAGCCCAAGTGCGGTGTATCAACTTCCATCCATCAGGAGACTTCGTGCTTGTCGGCACCGAACATCCAACATGTAAGTAAGGTTCTACTGATGCCTTTCCATGAAGGTCTGGGTTCAGATTGGCCCACAGCAACCCATGCTTGTCATGAAGTGAAACTCTTATGGGGTCAGGGGGTCAGGCTTGCTGACTTGATGCATGTCACTGTGACCCAATTGCTTCTTTAGATATCATTTACATGCTGTTACAAAGAGTTGGTATCACCATCAGTTGTTCAAATGTATCAAACCTTCCAACTTCACATTTATGGACATCTACAACGAAAAATCACAATCATTTGAAATATGGAAGTTGCATATCAACAAGGTTATCTCCCTTGGCCTTAGATCAAAGTTCATGGTGTCAATCACTCGATTGTCTGCATCAGACTTGATTGTGGTCTGAGTTGGAAAATTGTTGATGGTGGCATTAAACAAACAAACAAACAAACATACTGATGCCAAGGATGGTAACAATTCTTTTACCAGAGCTACAGATAATTTTTTGGGTCATTGAGTTATGTACTCGCTTGTGTTCATCTCAGTTGGGTATCCTAATTTTGCTTTGTGTAACCAAATAAATTGTACTCACCTCACTCAGACTCAGTTGGGTATTTTGCCATTTTCTGTGAATTGTAAAAATATAATAAAGTTGAAATGTTAGTGTTTGTTATTTATATTTGATCTGTACTATGAGAAACGATAAGAAAGAGTTGCCAGTTTCATGTCCTTAAATAGCACCTCTCAATATACCTCAGTTATTTTATCTATCCAACAATACGAAAGCTAAGATTTGACATTTTTGTGAGTACACATGTAAGATCACATTTATTGAGTATTTACAAAAATTCAAGTTCATTTGTACGCAATAGACTTGTTTTCACATAAATATTTGCGTAATTTACGCAGAAACGCAGCTTATCTGTACCTCTGTTTTATCCTGGAATAACTGAATTATTTCTTTTCTCCTTATTAATGGCAGGTAAACAACTTGAAAAATATGCAGATGCTTGCCGCATGGAGTATGTGTTTGGAAAGACAAAAGTTTATCAACTGATGTTTCATCAATTGTTTCAGTACGGCTGTATGACGTCAATACATTCCAGTGTTTTGTGTCACATGACCCAAGCGGACAGCATGAAGGACCAGTCACCTCTGTAAGTGTCCTTAGTCCGTGTCATGTTTTTCTTTTCCATAAGTAATTACATATTCTATGATAAATGATACTTGCTGAAGTCATTCTGTTCATGGAATATCTGAGGGGGTGGGGCAGCAGAGTGGTTTAAGCGTTCGCTCGTCATGCTGAAGACCCGGGTTTGATTCTCCACACTGGTACAATATGTGAAGCCCATTTCTGGTGTACTCCGCCGTGATATTGGTGGAGTATTGCATAAAATTAAGACTCACTCACAGTCTTTGAAATTCATTTCTTCACAATATTTAACTGATCCTCTGAATTTTAAGTCATTTGTGGTGTTCATTACATTTGACTTCACATTTACTGTAACTTCTATTCAGTTCCAGTTTGTAGAGCAGTTTAAGCATCATAACCAGTGGTCTCAGGCTAGTGGACTTGTGAGTAGGTTAGGCAGCTGACTTTGTGTGCTGGCGATTTGGTGCCGGACTCTCAGGGTGTGGGTTTGAATCCCGGATGGAACCTAACAAAAATATTAGAATCTGTAATTCACAAAGAAAGTGTAATCCCAAGTATAACATATGTTACATTTGACCATTTTCTAAAATGGCATTGTGTGTTCATATCAAAGAACTATGTGTCAATCTCCGACATGCAGGTAAACTGGAGCCCCAATGCGAACCTGTTTACTACCTGCTCTAAGGATGGCAGCATCAAGGTGTGGACGGAGTGAGTCACCGATGCATCAACACTTTCAAGAACGCCCATGATGGCCACGAAGTCTGCTCAGTCACATTCTCCAGAAATTCCAAGGTATGGTTTCAAAGATCATGAAACAGAATTAACTTCTGACACCAATATGGATGTGTCCCTGTGATGTTCAGGGCGAAAATGTTTCACCCTGAAACTTCAGTACCTCTTGGAAAGAGCAGGCCCCTGGAAGTGAAGAATCCCATGGTTGTCCATTTTGGATTCCAGGGAATAAAATTTTCTCAGTAAGCGTGGAATCCCATTCTTGTCTCTCTGGTTTTGGGAGATAAACATTTAACAGTAAATGCTGTGACACATGCTTGTCTTACTGGGATTCTAGGGAATACAGTCTTCCAGAAAACACAGTACATCACTCTTGTCGTGAGAAGAATAGGCCCCCAGTGAATGGAGAATCCCATGCTTGTCCCTCTGTGATGCTTTGGAATAAAAGTTTCTAGTGAACACAGTACCACATGCTGGTGCATTCAAGGCCTGATTGACTGTCATGGTGTACATGTCCATTTGACCCACGGAGATCCGGGTTAGAATTGATCTTCAGCAACTTATGCTTGTCGTGAGAGGTGACTAACGGGATTGGGTGGTCAGGCTCGCTGACTTGGTTGACTCATGTCATCTCATCCCAATTGCATAGATTGATGCTCATGCTGTTGATCACTGGATTGTTTGGTCCAGAGTCAGTTATTTATAGATTGCTGCCATATAGCTGGAATATTGCTGAGTGTGGCATAAAACAACCAACCAACCATTCAGTTTTTCAAATCAAGTTCATCAGTAACACATAACCTATCGTGTGTATGACCACAGTACATCTTGTCGAGTGGCAAGGACTCGCTGGTCAAGCTGTGGGAGCTGTCCACTAACCGCTGCCTCATCATGTACACCGGCGCCGGGGCCACAGGGAAGCAGGAACATCGCACACAGGCAGTCTTCAACCACACCGAGGACTACGGTACGTCTCTACATGTGTCCGTGTGACAGTTGCTCTGTCTTCTTTCCAGAACAGAAACCCAAAAGTATTGAAAAATACTGAACAGCATTTCACCATACTGAAGGTATCCAAAGTGAAATATAATTGGAATATAAATATCAAAGTACCAGTCAAGGGTTTACGATCTCCTTTAAGACTGGTTTTGAAAAATGATCAAATAGTAAACTAAAATTAAACTGTAAGGCCCTTTTCCTTTTTGATGAAGTTAACAAGATTGTTCCAGTGATGAAAGTTTCTGATGCAAAGTATTTTGTTTACAGTGTTGTTTCCTGACGAGAAGACAACCAGTCTGTGCTGCTGGGACTCACGCAATGCTGAACGACAGAAACTCCTTTCTCTGGGTGAGCATATCTTCTTATTCCAGGCAGGGTCCAGAGCAGAATAGATCCTCAGTACTCCTCGCTTGTCTCTTTATGATGATCCATTCCCTATGCTTGATGATCCATTTCCTATACCTGTCTGCTTATGAAGATCCATTAGCCCCGATTGTCTGCTTATAATGATCCATTCCTATACTTGATGATCCATTCCCTCTGCTTGATGATCCATTCCCTATGCTTGATGACCCATTCCCTATGCTTGATGATCCATTCCTTATGCCTGATGATCCATGTCCTATACCTGTCTCCTTATGAAGATCCTTGATGTCACTACATATATGCTGCAGTGTACCTGTGTATGTCATAGCATTATGGTTAGAGGAAATATCAATAAGATCACTTATTATTAATGATCAATGTGTTCGTCCCTGTTCCAGGTCACAATGGCGTGGTTCGCAGTATCGTCCACTCTCCAACAGGGCCAGCCTTCGTCACATGTTCTGATGACTACAGAGCCCGCTTCTGGTACCGCAAAGCTTCCACAGACTGAACAACATCACCATCAGCGGCAATCATCATCATGGGCAACTGTATCATTAGGACTGGAATGATTACCAGTCACAACATAGGGACACATGACAAAACATCACTGAAACATGTAGTTTGTCTGGAAACAAGTAAATGGCTATTGACTCTATCAAAACATATCTTGTGGACTTGCATCAATAAAACTGACATTGACCTCAATATTATATATACTTTTAATGATTCCTTTTCAAAAAAAAAATAACTTGCCCTCTTTGTATATACATGATAACAAACCAAATTGTTTGGCTTAGATTTATGACGACACAACCTATGTCGATACGTTTTTGGGGCATGGTGAACCAATATGGTGGTATAAAGTATCATAATGCACCCCTGGCGGTGGGGTAGCCTAGTGGTTAAAGCGTCCGCTCGTCACGCCGAAGACCCCGGGTTCGATTAACCACATGGGTACATGTGTGAAGCCTATTGCTGGTGTCCCCCGCCGTGATATTGCTGGAATATTGCTAAAACAGCGTAAAACTAAACTCACTCACTAATAATGCACCCAGACTTTGGTGAATCATTCCAGCCCCATTAATCATTCAACATTCAACATTGCCAACAACATCCAGAGTGTCAACATTCATCATGGTCATGTTGATATGTACGTTGGATATGTATTGATTGTTTTCATTAAGGCCATGTCCCTGGTTCTGACTTTCTCAGAATCTTTGCCAGGGACACCTTGCCGATTCTGGCACTGGTCAGTGCCTGTTAAAATGCCATCTCGAGTTGGTTTCATGTCATAACCAGAGATGCCAATCACTTGATTTTAAGCCAGACAAAGTTAGCACGACATTTTTTTCTCAGCTTACTTGTCAGAGACAACTTGCAGATTCCAGTACCGAACAGGTGCTTGTTATATCAGACTAACGTAACTGAGCAGTTAAAATGGATGCCCTGGGCCCCGTTCCTCAAAGCGATCGTAGCGCTACGACTGTCGTAAGTCTATGTTAAAGTATGGGAGTTACGATCGTCTTTGGGTTACGATCGTTTTGAGGAACGGGGCACTGGTTGATTACATGTCGTCACCAAAGATGCCAATCATTATGATTTTAAGCCAAAAACTAAGCTATTTCAGTTGACGGGACATTTGTATTTGTCATTTTTTTCTAAGATTACTCATATGTGTAAGAAATAATGGTGAGTAGGTCATTTACACAGAAGTGTCCCAAAGCACACTCCAGTGAGACTAACTGAGAGGGGGCGGTCGGGTAGCCTAGTCGTTAAAGCATTCGCTCATCATGCCAAGGACCTGGCTCCGATTCCCCACATGGGTACAATGTGTGAAGCCCATTTCTGGTTTCCTCCACAGTGATATTTCTGAAATACTGTTAAAATTTGCGTAAAACTACATTGACTGACTCACTCACTAAATGAGAGCCATACTTTATATTTATATCATGCTAAAATATCCATTACTCAGCAATTATTGACGTTACACACTCAAGTCAAGTTCATCATTGGATCTTTGCAGGTTCAGAAGGGAGTGAGTGAGTTGGTTTTACGCCGCTTTTAGCAATATTCCAGCAATATCACGGTGGGGGAACACCAGAAATGGGCTTCACGCATTGTACCCATGTGGGGAATCGATTTCAGGGCTTCGGCATGAGGAGCGAACGCTTTAACCACTAGGCTACCCCACCGCCCCTTCAGACAGGGAACAACAGGTACTGTTAACCTCGCCTGAACAACTGAACAAAACTACTAAAATCTTATTGATTACTTCTAAGTTCCGCAGTTTGGCATCTCTGCATCACACCCACCAGCATGGATAGTTGCTCATGACATCAACCACTGGTTTATCAGAGTTGCCTTATTCCTGCTGATTCAAACAGCTGTAATATTGCTGATCTCAGCACATGGCTCTGTTAGTCTCATGATTAGATGAGGGGCGGTGGGGTAGCCTAGTGGTTAAAGCGTTGGCTCGTCACGCGGAAGACCCGGGTTCGAATCCCCACATGGGTACAATGTGTGAAGCCCATTTCTGGTGTCCCCCGCCGTGATGTTGCTGGAATATTGCTAAAAGTGGCGTAAAACCAAACTCAGTCAGTCAGTCAGTCAGTCATGATTAGATGATTTCAAAAGTTGGTTCATTTGTCATTGTTCAAGTTAGATCTCAAAAAGTCTGGATCTTAAAAGTAATCTGTATTTCATGTATAAGCTGTTCCTAGCTTGATTTTCATTGTTATATAGGTACAGTGGTTATTCTGATATTCACTTCATGCACCTTATCCTATTTGGTGTTATGGTCCTTATGTTTAGAAAAAGATGTGTATTGAATATATATCTGTATGTATAAATAAAGCTTCAATTTGACATGTCAAAACAAAATCTTGTTCTTTACTTTTAATTGTACGATCTACATTATGTAATGAACCATTACATGCACACACAGATACACATAGCTATGAGGGAGCGTTCATAATATATGGCTAGGGGGGTGATGATGATTTTTATGGAGAAGCATGTACAATGTGAATGACCCCTCATAAAATTTATGTACAAAAATAAGCAGAACCCCCCCACACACACACACACACGTCATGTATAAAATCACCTGCCAAGTGTTTAGGTAGCTCGCAAATGAATCCCGAATTCTGATTGTTTGAGTCCCATTTAATAATTTTTCAATGATTATTTGTCAAGGTAATTGCTGTCGTGTACGTTAAATGGCTTACGTTCCAAGATAATATTGCCGTAAAATTTACATTACATTTGCAACGTACCACCCGCAGTTTTGCGCCTCGAAATAACGATGTAAAATGCCATTCTACGAATATTCACGATATTTTCCGAATGAAATATATCTATCGTCTGCAAGGTGATATATATATGGGATTGTTACCGATTAACAAAAGCATGCTGTCGCCGCTGCAATACAACAGGGATTAAGGTAAGATAAATTAGTCCCCAGCTAACTATGTTAGTTTATATTTGCTAATCTCGATGTACGCAGTTATGGCCCCTGCATAGGTTTCACGGACAACGAATTCATCTTGCCAATAATCTCAGCACTTCGCAGATTGGTGGCTATGATGTTATTCGCTGGATTCAGTCAGAGTAACGGGTCTGGTGGTCAGGTTCTCTGACTTGGTTGACACATGTCATCGTACCTCAAATCTGTCGATAGATTGTGGCCATGTTTATGATATCAAACACTGGATTGTCTGGCCCAGATTCGATTATTCACAGACCGCCTCTATTATTGTGGACAGATTTATTGGCATTTCACTGAAAGTATTTTATTTTGTGACTGTTCATTGTACTGAAGTGGATGACTGCTGTATTGGTGTTTTATACAACCCCATCACACACAGTTGGTTAGAATTGATCTTCAGTAACCCATGCTTGTAAGAGGTGACTAACGGGATCGGGTGGTCAGGCTTGCTGACTTGGTTGACGCATGTCATCGTATCTCAGTTGTTTAGGTTGATGCTCATGCTGTTGATCACTGGATCGTCTGGTCCAGATTCGATTATTTACAGACCGAGACCGATGAGTGCGGCGTTAAACAACCAACCAGCCAACCAACCCATCACTAACCAACCAACCCATCACTACTGCTGTACAGAGGAATGAACATTAAAAGCCATGTTTCACCTTTGCAATCAACATTTAGTATGCCATGTCAGGTGTTTATTTAATGGATAACATTAGATATTTTGTAAATTGGCCTTGGGTCTTGATTATTATAATATCGGTAGATATAAAATCTGAAAAGCACTATTATTTTCACTGCATCACAAACAAATGTTAAACCTAATGACAAATAACGAAAACAACAAACTAGGTGCTTTCACAAGAATTACTGTTGATGAACTGAAAAAACAATCTTCCAAAGCATGTAATTTTTTAAACACTTTTAGACACGGACCTTTCTCAAGCAGTAAACAAAATCGGGCCTAACATACTTTTCATCTAAGCTGAGTTTAATCCCAGTGAAGATCTGGGTTGGAATGGGTCTTCAGGGACCGTATCTTGTTCAGAGAGGTGGATGGATGATCAGACTCGCTGACTTGATTCATGTATGTCATCGTATCCTAACTGTATTGATCGATGGTCATGGTGTCAATCACTGGATTGTTAGGTCCAGACTTAATCATTTTTATTCGGCCGTTAGGTACCTGGAATATTACCGAATGTGGCGTTCAACACAGACAAACCTGAACGATGACACGGCCTGTTTGTACAGTATCTCTGAGTTAGCTGAAGACCGAAATGTCCAAAGAGGCTGAATATATTATGAATATAAAAGGCAGCTGTCTCTGAATCTGTCCGTATTTTTTTCCAACTCCCGCCAGACCTGAATTTTCATTCCGTCGTGAAATTATAAACCATTTTATTTTCTCAATTTTACCGACGACTGAGGAATATTATGTCCTGACCTGATAAAAAAATGCCCTTATCCTTGTACACTCATGAAGATCCAGGTTAGAACTGGTCTTCAGTAACCCATGCTTGTCGTAAGAGGCGACTAACGGGATCGGGTGGTCATGTTTGCTGACTTGGTTGACACATGTCATCATATCCTATTTGAGTAGATCGATGCTCATGATGTTGATCACCGGGTTATCTGGTCCAGACTTGATTATTTACAGACCACCGCCACATAGCTAGAATATTGCTGTGTGTGGCGTTAAAAAAACCCAAACAACCATTAAAGTCAGGCTTTACGGGATTGAGTGAGTGAGTGACACTCGTAAAACAAGTCAGCTTGGTCATTTTTCATCTCATTTCATTAAGAACCTATCTCCGAAGTGCTCAAAATTTTAAAATGTTATACAATAAGTTGCACAATTAGTGAAACACATTCTGAAATTTGTATTCTCTATCTTATTCCCGTATCTCAATTGCGTAGATCGATGCTCATGCTGATGATCACTGGATTGTCTGGTCCAGATTCGATTATGAACAGTTGGAGTATTCCTTAGTGCGTCGTTAAACAGCAAACCAACCAACCAAATATATTCTTCCCCGCCCGCTCTTTTGTTGGATGAGGGGCGGTGGGGTAGCATAGTGGGTAAAGCGTTCGCTTGTCACTCCGAAGGCCAGGGTTCGATTCCTCACATGGGTAAAATGTGTGAAGCCCATTTCTGGTGTCCCCCGCCGTGATATTGCTGGAATATTGCTAAAAGCGGCGTAAAATCAAACTCACTCACTCACTCACTCTTGTTGGATGAGGTTCGAGATGAGAAACACATAGAAAGATACTGCCCTGATAGAATATTTGGAGTGTTCACAATTCAACATCAAAACAATGCATCAATGTATAATGAAACTAAATTTATTATTATCACAGTTACATGAAGTATTTACAATGACAAATATAGATTCCATTAAGATATATGAAGTTTTTATGTATCAAAGGTAAAAACGAAATGACAAAATTATTGTGAGCTGAAATAATTTGTTTCAAAATAAAAGGGGAAACAACATGGACATTATGTACTGACATACAAGAAACTGTTGTGACGTGACAGGAAGTCAAATGACTTCCTAATTCAGAGATATACTGACAGCGAGAAAAAAGAGAACGGCTACAAAGGGAACCAACTTTCTCATGATATTTTGTTTAACGCAGCAATGTTCCAGCTACATGACAGCAGTCTGTAACTAATCTAGGCAGACCAGACAATCCAGTGATTAACATTATGAGCATCGATCCACGAAATTGGGATACGATGACATGTGTCAACCAAGTCAGCGAGCCTGGCCACCCGATTCCGTTAGTCGCCTCTTACGGCTAGCACTGGTTGTTGAAGACCCATCCTAACCCGGATTTGTCACTGGTAAATTCGATAAATACTTGGGGAGAAAGGTCCCCAAATTGTGCTTGTTTGATCACACTATGCATCAGGATTTCATTGGCTTGCTTTTCTAAGCCTTCAGGTACTACTTTAGAAAAGGTCTTGCAAATAGATATTGAGCGTGCAGTGTTTTTGTGCAATATCCAACGAAACAAATTACTTTGTGTAGATTTATTTTGATACTTCGTGAAAGTATTTTTGAAACTCATGGAAACAAACTTGTATATAAACTATTTATGGCCAGTAACTGTAGTCATGCACCTTTAAACGATTGACTGCTTCAAATTGGCGACATGCCTTGAAGCATACATTGTTTTCATATGTAAATTGTATGATGGTGGTGTTACATGAAATAGAGAGCTAAAATATGGAAACGTGAATGAAATTTGGTATGAATCCTGAGTTAACGCAGATATCCATTTTATTGCGAAACTTGTACGTTCCCTTATTTCTTTCCATCAGTATATTTAAATCAAGATGCATGTCTTTCACTCTTTGTGATGTTTGAGCAAGAATGAATCAATTTTCGCACTCAGTATACAAAAAGAGAAAGGTCGCCTCAATATTTCAGTTATATTACAATGCCTGTCCTGCTCGGAGGGGGGACTTCAAGGACAAGGGTCATGACTGGGATTCAAAGACACGACCTGTACAGTTGAAGGACGCCATTTGGTACATGTATTTAAGACCATTTTGTCACTCTGAAATGTGTTCTTGTAAGAAACGTACTGAAAACCTTGCACAAAATCCGCATGAGCAAAGGAAAATGGAAAATTATCTCTTTTTCTGGTGTGGTGCTAACAAATGAAAAAAAATCTTAACCGTGACGAATACACGATAAGCGGATCCTGGCACGATTGATTAAGGGCGATTGTTGCGACCTGACTTTCGAAACCCTTGTGCTGCGTTCATCGAACCCACCCCATCCTGTGTGAGGCAGATGTCAAGTCCAGTAGAACTGACACATATATTATGCTTCAAACGAGGACATACTTCCTGAACAGTATTGAGGCATTACATAAAACGTCCCTTTTAGACTGTGCATATATGTTTTCCATGTTTCCCATCCTCCCGCCCGATATGAATCGTTTATATCAATTTTTTCACCATCCCTGTGGAAGTAATGCCCCTATGTGATAAAGAAAATAACCGTGCACATTCGTAATTAAAATAGTTCAAAAGTTAAATTACAAAGAAACTCGATCTACATCATAAATTAAATAAACTTATCTTAATTCTAAAAGTTGTTAAAATAAGTTACACAATTCGTGAAAAACATTATATTTTTTCGCCCGCCCATAATCATGCTGGTTGAAGTTTGAGATGAGAAACATTGCAATGATATTTAGTATAATATTTGTAATGTACGTTGTACGAATTGAAGATAATACAGTATAAAAAGTACGTCCTAATCGTACAGACGTTGGTTGGCCCTCCCCTTGACCGTCCGTTCTTTGTGCTAAAATATCGTGTGCGTTTTCATCAATCATTGGTATATTTCCCTGTACAATGTTAATGAATTCGCCAACAAATTACACGATAATACAAAGACACTAATCAAACAAAACACTACAGTGAAACTTCATAAAAGGAAGTCATCGGGCGTTATCCAAAGACTGGAAGATCTTAGAAAACACGTGACCTTCACACGTCACAATGTATTTCCTTTCTGCACACGGCACTAGTGATAGAAATTCCACTTAAGACATATTTGCAGTACAAAAACAGTGACTCTAAACGATTGCAAGGTTCATTGGGAGAATAAGCTTTGAATGATCACTCGAAGACTATCTCGAACTCGAACTCCAACATATCGTTTCAGATTATGTAATTTTGTGGAGCCACCAAAAGATTTAAGAGCCAAGATGTGATATCTGATATGTACTTGAGTCGAAATATGTACTCGACAGACCCATGGGCTTCGAGTTAATAAAGTTTCACTGTACCGAGACAAACTATGCGATAATGATATGTACGTGTACAACTGATAAATAGCCTCTTTTATAATAATAATTATGATACATTTGCATCAAGTAACGTGAATCTTCAGTCAGACATTTCAAATCAAACAAAGGCATTAAACAACTGCAAATGGTGACTACCAGTTGATTGGAAAACAGTTTTAGCAACACGTACCGAATGAAGAAAATACATGTAAATATGCCTGTTTAACAAGAATAGAAAGATACATCGAAAACTCAAAAGTGATTGTGTGAGGTGGGTTTAAAGTCGCGTTCACTTTCAAGTTTTCAGTTTTATCACGTGCCATGTTAAGGTTCCGTTTCACATGCTACTTTGATTCAAACAACAGATCTGATTGGGATTGAGGAAACTGAAGCAGCATGCAGACGTATTTTGCGAGCATGACTGGTATGTAACGCTTATAAACCAAGAAACACAATCAAGGGGAACCTCAGTCTAAGTAAACTTAGGATCAGTATTATTCCACTAGGGTTTGTTAGACTCAGCATAGCAGTGTAACAAATAATACTGAGCCTAAGTTTACTTAGACTGGGGGAACCTGGAATTATCGGGTTCTGACACGACAAAGAGAGGTAACTTTTTTTCGGCGAATTTCGGAGGGCTTTTTGATGTGACGTGTTTACAACAGGAAGTTCAAAAGCATGTTAGTGAAAAAGGAGCATATGTATTATGTAATGCACGATAACGTAGTTCGTTTGGTTGATACTGTTCGAAGATGAAGCGTCCTGATTAGCATGTGTCCGGTTAACTAAGCGTGGGTATACAGAGCTGAAATTTTGTTATTGTAAATATTCGTTGAGAGGAATTATATAAGTTGCAAGAACTCGTCCCCGACCCTTTTCACTTTGTGAATAAAACATGTTTTAACTGACTAAACATACAGAGTTACAGTGTCCAGATAAACGAGGCTTATTTCACTGAAACTTTGACAAAATGAAAAAAAGGTCGTCCTAAAACTTTATTTAAATGTATTTTCTCTGACATTATTAATACAGTATGTACAAGGTGGAATAATATATTCCTTTAACAAACAGAAAACAATGATACATGGGAAATCAGGCCCTCAGATTTCTACCAGCTATGCATATTGTAATCGTTTATATTGATAAATATGGAATTCATTATTGTCCCTCTCTAAAAAGTAGTCATTACAAAGTAGCATAGCCATATTCTCAAAGCGATCTTCGTGCTGAGACGAAGGCTGTGTTTTTTATGGGAGGTACGATAGTCTTAGTGTTAAGACGCTTCGTGAAACGATGCCAGACGCCAGTCCCGCAAAGTCATCTCAGCTCTATAATCATCGTAAGGTTTCGATCGCCTTAAGACCGCTTTGTGGAACGGGACCCTGGTTAGATCACGAGGGGGGCAAGTTAACGCGTTATTCATACAGCTGAACTACAGTTGGACATACCGACGTCTCATTCCTATAAAAGGGAATCTGTCTGAACAATTTGTGTGGGACCGAAAGTTAGGTCCGTGTTATCTAGCAGGAGTGACGTCCCTTAGGTTAAGGTATGACATTTTGCACTTGCAGTCTGTTGCGCAAACCTGCGAATGGTGTTACATAAAGCTCCAGTGACCTTGAGTTTTATGTTAATAGTATGAAACTAGGATAGTGGGTAGTAAAATATGAAACCAGCATGAAATGGCAAAATCATTTCGCGGAGATACAACGAGAATACAAACATTATTATAGTTCAAAGAGATGTGGACATTATGTGTATATGAGAATTATTATAATATTTCTTACTGTTTAAATATAGAAATTAATAACATATGGGAATATATTTATTTATATTATGCTTCTTAAATGAGCGGAATATGGACATAAATCATGTGGTGATACAGATGTACATTATAAATCATGATATGGGCATTTGTAGTATACGAGAATACAGCACTTGAGTATAAGCAGGATATGGACGTTAATGGTATATGGGAAAACTGCCGTATATTGTTTATGGACACTGATAGTATATGGGAATATAGCTGTTATTGCTTAACAAGCGTACGGATATGAAAGGTATATGAGAATACAGACGTTTATTGTACATGAACATTAATGATATATGAGAATACAATCGTGTTTTTGTTCAGCAAATATGAACATTTATTAAACATGGGAAACATATATCTGTTTTGCATGAGAAGTATATCGAATACATGCATCGAGAGTATATACAGAATGTTATCTGTTCAGCTACACTGTGTATTGGGGTTGGATTTGCTTTATTTATGGGGAGTCTTAAAACAATAACCCAACTTAAAAAATAAGCTTAATTTGCTCTTCACCTGTAGCAAACATATCGGTTTAGCGCATATGTTTGGCATTTTGATTCACCAAGAATATTTCCATCATTCACAAAAATGAAATGCCAGAAGAGTAAAAAAAGAATTATATAACAATGTATATTTAAAATAATGAAATAAATCTGTTATTCCTCTGGGGTTGACACTGGCAACATGTCGGGTATTTTAACAGTGATACTGTTCAAGGGCGGAAGTCACTGTTTAGCACGTATATTTAACAGCTGTTGGCGACCACTGAGGAGTAATCTAAATGGTGTGATAGTTTCAGAAAATGCTGCACGAAATGGTCAAGAATTTGGATCTCCTGATCATGTATATATTCGCGGTAACAAGATGAGTTTTCAAGCAAAGCAAACAGTAATTTGTTTCGAAACTGCAGTTTGCATACAAATGTGGAAAACCATGTCAAAACATGAATGTGGATTCATTAGGGACCTGTCGTTTGTTACAAGGGGTTACCTTGTGTTTTGATCGAATTATGTGCAGAAATTAATGACCTTACCCTAATCCTTGTCATTATTTGGAAAGTTTACATTTCCTACCCTCCCAATATTTCATTGTAAACCGTCCATTTCCATTTGCCTCTCGAAAAAAGTGAAATACTTTTATGAGCTTTTTTATTAAGCTCAACACATTGCTTCAATATTATATAGGATTTCACATGAAGTGAGCAGGGCCCACTTGACTTCCGTGACTTTTTCACTGGTCTAAGTAAACCTGGCTAGCTATTCTCGAAACGTTCGTAGCCCTACGAACTGCTTAAGCCCAATCTTAACACATTAGCTACGATCAAAGTTAAGAATTCTTAGGGCTACGAACGTTTCGAGAATGAGGGACCTGGGCTCAGTATTATTCGTTACACTGCTATACTGTATACTGTATATAATAGCAGTGTAACGAATAATACTGAGCCTCAGTTTACTTTGACTTCTTTTTCACCTGCCGAAAACCAGACTTCGCCATGAACATTATGTGTAAAAACAATGACAATGATACAACCACAGAATGAATAAATAATTACTCAACTGAAAACTATCTTTCATGAAGATAAAATTTAAAAGATTCAGTGATATTTACATATTTGTACATTTTGAATTAAACAATGTACATATTATCTATTTACAAATAGAACATTCAATTAGTTCTTTCACAGAAACCTTTGATTATGTCTGGTTTCATGGACACCTGGATAAATATTTATAAACACTTTTATTGTGGGCTTTCAGTGTATAAAGTAATTATCTTAATAAATAGACACAGCATTAATTGACTTTTGTGAGCATCCCAAAGATATGAGTATATTATGGTAATTGATTTCAGAGTTGTTTTCAAGTTCTATGCATCTAAACAGCTCATTTTGAAAGGCGAGCACGCTGTTTTCCATCAGAATACCTTGATTCTGATTGTAATGTCAGTGAAGCTTCATATTCAATGATTACTTCAACTGTTAACAGAATCATCAAAACTAGATTACAAACCTGCATTAGGTGACAATGACACCTATTATTGCCACCTGTAAGAGGTCGTAGTGACATCTGTCAGTTGTAATCTGCAGGAAACAATGACAACTGTCACTATCGTTGCATGAGATCACAATGACACTTGTCAATGTCACCTGCAACGAGGGAAAATGACACCTGTCACTGTTACCTGCATATGATCACAGTGACAACTATCACCAACACCTCCACAACGTAGCAAAAACACCTGTCATCAACATCTGCAAGAGGTAACATGATATATGTCACTGTAACCCCTGCACAAGGTAACAGTGACACCTGTCACCATTACCGGCATAAGGTAACAATGACAACTGCCACTGTCACTACACGTGGTCACAGTGACACCTGCCAATATCACTTGCTCGAGGAATCCATGACACCTGTCACCTCCACGAGGTCACAATGACACCTGTCACTACCGCCTCCACAAAGTATATATGACACCTGTCAGTATCACCTGCATGAGGTTAAAACGACATCTGTCACAAACACATTCAAGAGGTAACAATAACACCTGTCACCAACACCTCGAGGTAACAATGACACCTGTCAATATCACCTGCATGAGGTTAAAACGACACCTGTCACTAACACCTCCACAAGGTAACAATAACACCTGTCACCAACCCCTCGAGGTAACAATGACACCTGTCACTATCACCTCGAGGTAACAATGACACCTGTCAATATCACATGCATGAGGTCAAAACAACAACTGTCACTAACACCTCCACGTGGTAACAATGACACCTGTCTTTAACACCTCCACAAGGTAATAATGACACCTGTCACGTTCACCTGCGCGTTAAAACCACTGACACCTGACATCAACACCTGCATGAGGTAAAGTGTTTTCCCTGCACGTGTATGTCCAGGAAGCGGTCAGCCAGCCTGAGACTCTACCAGACATGACACTTCTTCTCGGGGTTCATGTACGACGTTCGGGCACAGCTGAAGGCATCACTAAAGTCCTGTGAGTTCTGCATAGTGCCGATAACTCTGCAATAAGGAATACAAAAATGTTAATCTGCATTAACGATTCAGAGGCCCAGAGAAGCTGCGTATCCGGGTAAATACGCATAGAAAATTTCCAATTAAGCATTGAAAAAAATAATCGTTGCGTACCATTTACGCATTTAAAATGTTAGATACGCAAAAAGTTTAAAACAAATGCGTACGGAGTATATTTATAAAAATCGCTTGCGTAATGAAAAAGACATCGATTGCTATCAAGTTGTACTGTTAGTATAGGACAAGTGTTGTACTGTCAGTATAGGATGAGTGATTTTTTATGAAATAATTTCCATTATATTTAAGTTGGTTTTGATTAGGTATGACATGAGACAGAACATACCTGCTTAGTAAACTTACTCAATGACGTAATACTTAGGTGAGTGAAATGACTGAAATACGCACATATTTGAAAGCAGTGGGTAACGGAAATTGAAATACCCACTCAACATTCATAATACCCACTCCCAAAAAATACAGTGGGTACAGTACCCACATGAGCTAAATCTTATCTGAAGCTCTGGTTAGTAAAGATTGTAAAAGCACTGGCGGACCAAGACGGGGAGTGTACACATAAAAACACACCAAACGCACGCACTCACGCACGCAAACACACATATTGTGGAAGTAAGAGTCAGTGAGTATGGTTTTATGCCGTTTAGCAATATTCCAGCAATATCCCGGCGGAGGACACCAAAAATGGGCTTCACACATTCTACCCATATGGGGAGTAGAACCCGGGTGTTCAACGTGGCGAGTGCACGCTTTAACCATCGGGCTACCCCACCGCCCCTGAAAGTAAGAATTGTAGATTGGTAAATAATGGACAACAGACATTACCTGAATCTACCTGGGCTGTGAACACCCGTAAGGATCCGGTTGATCGCGTTCTCTCGCCTCATGTTAGAGCACCAGATCTAGGGAAAAGGGCACTAAGTCAGCAAATTAAACTTCATGAACAACAAAACAACTCTGAATGCGATCCATTCAGCTAAATGTGTAAGCTGAGAAAATCGGGTCGAGTCTTTTGCGACAAGCGAACGCAATTTGGCCAAGTGAGGGACTGAATTACGTCTCTTTAGCAACGAGTGTTTTTTCGCTGCCACAAGAGATTATTTTAAAAACCAACAGCATATTGTTTGACACAAGTGACACACATGACAAAGAGCTGCCTATTCGCTTACACAAGGAACTCACATGGTAAAGAACGGTTTTCTCGATGACAAATGTCTCACCTTGAAAAGAACTGTTTCTTTTCGCTGACACAAGTTTCTTTTGGAAAAGAACAGTCTATTCTCTGACACAAGTTTCTCGCCTTTAGTATATTTGCTGACACAAGTGACTCACATGGTAAAGACTCGTTTCTATTCGCTGACGCAATTGCTTCTTCATGTAAAGAACAGTTTATTCGCTGACAAGTGGCTCACCTGTGCGAAGCTGATGAAGAACAGCTGATTGTTGTTGTACTTGAGACCCGGAAGTAATTGCTCCTCCTTGCCCTGCTCCTCTACCCACTTCCGGTACGCCTAAATCACAGAGAAATAATGTTTCGTGGCATAGTAATAACAGGGGCATGTGTGATTTCACAATTTAGTAAATCTACCAATTTTGAGTCTAATTTGGAACATAAAACCCTGCAGATCGTATGCAATATTTTCACAATAATCTATACTGATCCACAAAAGTAAGGTATCGTGAACATTTATCAGTATATTTTTGGCCAGTGGAGAATGAGCACACAGTTTCACAAAGACATTTTCCGCATAAAATCTTCACCACTCCACGACATATATGAACAGGTGCGTTTCGCATGCTCAATTGGTAAAAGACACCGAAGCGGAGGTAAAATAATGGGCTACTACAATCTTCCAATACCAGTCATAGTACTTACTCTGTAACTTTGTTTAACTCCGCCATTATCGGCAATGTTTTCACCCTGGGTATTAATTCCGTTTATCTGAAATGTTCAAATAAAAATAAATCATAGAATGATTGAATTATCGGTGAGCAAACGATGTGATCACTGTCAAGAATACCATCAAGCCGTCTCCCAACCGCCCGGAATTTACATTCTGACGTGAATTAATAAAAGGTTTTCTTATCTAAATACCCCCGTGGCTTTATGCCTGCCTTTGCACAGCCCCCGGGCAACTGAACATGCCTTAAGACGTTCCTAAGTAAAGCCCAATATAACTTTGGCCTTAGCCTTATAAATATTGACCTAGAAATAGAAACCGCGGTTATAAGCTCAATTCATGTTGCAATATATTTATTAACAGCTTTGTCGTCTCTGGTTCAAGCTTCAATCGATCAGTTACCAACTCTATGAAATGTTGACTTGGCATGTCACAATGACTCCACTTGCCTTCATGTCCGCCTCTGGCACTGAATACTGGGAATATTGGTCTATGATACACTGGGACTTGGACTTGAACTTGCCGATGGCGTCGTCACTCCACCACTGGACTAAGTTACCGTTCTTGTCGTATTGGCGCCCTGTTGTTGGAAATGTAGGTGTGCAAACTGTATAACAAGCTAACTCACTAACTGTTGAACCACTGAGGCAGTCGGGGAGTGTAAAGGTTAAAGTGTTCGCTTGTCACGCCAAAGACCCGGGTTCGATTCCCCACATGGGTACATTGTGTGAAGCCCATTTTTGGTGTCACAGATTGCGGGAATATTGCCAAAAGCGGCGTAAATGAATGAATGAATGAATGAATGAGTGAATGAACAGGAAATAGTAGATTTCACCCATTTGACCCATTTGGGGTTTTGAACCCTTGACGAGCAAACGCTTTAACCACTACGCTACCCTACCGTCCTGATAAATAATAGCGAAGTGATGTGTTATGACTTAAGTTATAATGGTCTTACCTCTGTCGTCGAAACCGTGGGTAATCTCATGGCCGATCACCACACCTATACCTCCGTAGTTCAGGGACCTTAAAGAATGAACCAATACGTCAACATGAAACCAACAGCATTCCCCAGTCTTATCACATGTAACATAATATCAAAAACAACCCATGTGAGTTATTATTGGTGTGCAGAATCACGTTCAAGTTTGCATTCTCATGTCATTGACTTTCTGACAAATGAGATCTGGGATATAAACCGGATCGGCAAGGGGACACAGCTCTGCACGGCATATTCGTCGATGACTGGACTACTGGTTACACAAGGAGCTCGAGACAGTGTGAACGTCTTCATGTACAATCACAATGTACTTTGAGGGGCGGATTCAGCTTGGGGGTGGGGGTGCACACTATTGGGGGTGTCACACTTCATTTTCACCCGAGTTCCAATGGTCATTTAACTTTCAGAACATTGGGGGGAAGGGGTGCGCACCCCTGCACACCCCTCTGGATCCGCCTGTGACTTTGCAAACATAGACATTCTTGATTCTCCCGTGAATACTATATCCCTTGGCATTCCGCAAGCTTAAGGCTGATATACATATATTCAGAGCTAATATACAATATACAAAATCTCCCAACACGTGATTTGAGATGAAGCAACATTTGTTGTGAGTTGTCCTAGATCGATGCTTATGATGTTAATCACCAGATTGTCTGGCCCAGACCCAATTATTTACAGACCGCCGTCATATTGCTGGAATGTTGCTGAGTGCGGCGTAAAACAACAAACCAACCAACAAACAGACAAACATACAAACATCGATATCTCCTATGGGAAGAGACGCTGTTCGAAATATGTCACCCCTGAGTGATCGTGTACCCTGTCGATACCCTGTCGATAAGATGAGACTGCACTGTCGCTGTCACCCACCCGTTTCTCGTAAGCTTGGATTATATGCTCACCTGGAACATGATTTGAAATTATCGTGCACACTGTCCCACGTATCGTAGCGCTTTTATCATGATTCTCTTCACGGATTTTATTGCGTGAATAAGTAATACAACACTTACTTGTGGTAGGTCTTGCTGTAGAATGGTGGTTGTAAGATCCCTGCAGGAAACACTGAAACAAAACCGTACATGTCACTTTCACGCTACCCGTGAAGATGCTCACGATGTCGGCTAGAACTCGTCTCGTAAGAAGCGACTGATGGGATCGTGATGTCAGGTTGGCTGACTTGGTGGTTAGACTGACTGACTGACTGAATTTAGTTTTACGCCGCTTTTAGCAATATTCCAGCAACATCACGGCGGGGGACACCAGAAATGGGCTTCACACATTGTACCCATGTGGGGATTCGAACCCGGGTCTTCGGCGTGACGAGCCAACGCTTTAACCACTAGGCTACCCCACCGCCCTGGTTGTTAGACATCATCGTACATCGATGCTAATCACGTTAGTCACTAGAGTGGCAGTTCCAGATTCCATTATTCACAGACCTAGGTCAAATAGTTGGAATATTGCTGAGTGTGGCGTTAAACATCAAACAAACAAACAAACACAATTGCGCTGATAAAGGTATGCAAGAACTTTTACATCAGCCAAACTCTTCCACGCCAAATCTCATGGTATCTATTACTAGCGCTTCAACGAATCACTTACTGATCTGGTTTGTGAGCGAGTTGTAGTAGGCGTTGACCGTTGACGGCGCTGTGGTCCACCTGCAACGACATCACCAGCGACATTAATCATGGACACGTGTTGTATCCATCACTGCATGCAATATATCTGGGTCCGAAATTCTTTAGTTCATCTTTTCTCTTCCGACGTGGCTCATTATCTAAAGATCAGTATATGCATTCGTCATAGCTTGGCTATAACGTTGTGGTTGTAAAAAAAGCCGTGTTGTCGTGAAACTGATTCTTTTTGAAAATGTTATTGCACTTTAGAAGTCTGCATTTAGGACAAATCAGCGTAATACTGAAATGTGGTTACGCATACTGAAAGGGTCGGTACAGAGGCTAGTGGTTAAAGCGTTCGCTCGTCACTCCCATCACCCGGGTTTATTCCCCACATGGGTAAATTGTGTGAAGCCAATTTCATGTGTACCCCGCCGTGATATTGCTGGAATATTGCTTAAAATCCTCTTAAAACATTTCTCACTGGCAACAGTCATAACCTGTCAAAACCCGGATGACAATACGGTTTCTGAGTGCAGTTGTACAAATCAATCTTGGCGTTAAGGTGATCTTAACTCCTGCACATTAACATAGACCAAGGACAGTCTTAGTCCTAACGCTGTTTTGTACAACATCACCCAGGCCATGTTTGTCGTACGAGGTGGATGGTCAGGCTCGGTGACGTGATCGATAACATGTTACAGAACTGCAGATCGATGCTCAATCACTGCATTGTTTGCCGGAGTCGCGATTATTTACAGACTCTCCATACAACTTGAATACAGCAGTGCGGCTATAACCAACAAACGTACAGCATCACCATCCACCATACCGTATGTCCTCTACCGAGAGGGCATTTTAAAAAAATTTAGGTTACTTGCAGATCCTGTACATATCAGATCCTAGCTCTCCGTTAAGACCGGGGCCTTACTGCTTTGGTAACAAGGTACTGAAAATGACGAGAACGGCGGTTGGGGTTGGTTTGGATGGTATTATTGGTATTCTTGAACGATGACGTCGATGAACAAGGAGTGAGTGAGTTTTAGCAATTTTCCAGCAATATCACGACGGGGAAACAAACATTGTACCTCAAACATTGTACCCATGTGGGGAATCGACGTGACGAGCGAACGCATTATCCACTAGACTACCCCACCGACGATGGGCAAGGAACACACGGACACAATACATACACATTTCTGTCCACCCTTTGTCGTAGTGTCTTCAGATTATTGATCGTTGACCGCTGAATGTTCTGTAGGACGTTCTCAAAATACTTCAGTGGATCGTATGTGTTCTGGAACACAGGGGTTTCACATATCACTGGACTCACATTTAACAGGGACGACCATTTCGGAGGATGCCAACCCCGTTTTTTGGTACGCCGGGCGTCCTGTTAAGTGATAGTCTAGATGCCTTTCAACAGTACACTGGATTCTGTGAAATATTCATAAGGCGCGCATGCCAGTATTTCAATGCTGATATCTGTTTTTCGTCGTATTTTTAAAAAGAAATTCCCAGTCACTAAAACATTAAGGTCTGCGTATACATGGTCTTGCATTTATGTAAAAAATCCAGTCTCATGTATTTGTTCTAACAGTGTACAGTGACATAACGCTCGAGTTTTTAAATTGGATGTAAGTTCAAAAGAAGTGGTATGGCATGTGCTAAGAGTGGAGGAGTTGGGTGAGTGAGTGAGTTTAGTTTTACGCCGCACTCAGCAATATTCCAGCTATATGGCGGCGGTCTGTAAATAATCGAGTCTGGACCAGACAATCCAGTGATCAACAGCATGAGCATCGATCTGCGCCATTGGAAACCGATGACATGTGTCAACCAAGTCAGCGAACCTGACCACCCGACCCCGTTAGTCGCCTCTTACGACAAGCATGGGTTACTGAAGATCAAATTTTTTTTATTCTAACCCGGACCTTCACGGATAAGACGAGTTGGGCTCACTTAGCTGGGGGTGGTATACTTAGTGGTTGTTGTAGGTAACAAAATATGTTTTTTGCTTTAAGAAACTAATTTGTATGTTCTGCTGCACTGACTGAAAGAATCATCTGTCTCAAACAATATCTGTCTATTTTATCACGCAATATACTTGGTCATGTCTAACTTCCGGTTATCAGTGTATAATCATGTGTCTCTGGTGCATGTGTGCCGTTATTACTGTGTCTGAAGTTTAGTATTCCAACTTAATAGACAGTCGATGTATGGTGACTTGAATATACTTACATTTTCATAGAGCATATTGAGAAGTGTGTTGTTCAATATATCATTGGGATAGCCAATCTTGGGATTAATGGCATCTGCCTAAAACAGAAAAAAACGTCTCATCACCCAAAACACTTTAGTTCCAACCCTTTAAAATTGTTTTAATTATTCCTTTTATTTTCAGAATTGTTATTTCCTGGGTTTCGAACCCGCGAACAGTGATGTCTGACAGAAAAGGGACATAACTCTACACGTCGCATGCCTGGACCAAGGAGCACAGGTATTCCCCAAGCCCATCATAATTATATCTATTACAAATAGAATTCCTCCTGGTGAATTCTATTTATCAATTTCACATTGATTATCCCTTTTAAGAATTAATGCACCAAAATTAACAACATAAACTTGTCGATATCATATGCTTGTATTGTGCGTAGTGATACATGTTATCGTTGTCATGTCAACCAAAATAAACAAGCCGTAAAATCCTTTGGTGTATTCATTCGCTGAGAATAAAAGTTCGTCCGATCTTTGAAAAACTACTTGAACAGAGGTTTGCAGAATAGTTGAAACTTTAATAACCAGATGTTAAAGGGCAGCAATCGAGCCGCCATTTGGGTAACAAAAGCAAATGGCGCAATTTGATATTTACTCAATTAATTGTTCGTTTCGTTAAGATGTTATGCTGGTATTTATTTGAAAAAAATAATTCCAATGCAGTAAGGCAACGTGTAACATCTAGTCTCCAAGCCTTTAGGTGCGACGCGATGACTATCATTAAGGGGGTAAATACGGTATTAGCTTTAAAGAAACATTGAATGGGAGAAGAAGATACAGATGGGATGGTATCCTCTGATCTTGTCTCTGGCTATGTCCTTGACAACGACAGGAAATGGAAATCTGACTGTGGAGATTAACTTTAAGAGACGCCTGTTCGAAACGACTATCTTTGATAGAAAAAATACGGTATTATCCTTGAGAACATGAGAGAAGAAAATACAGATGTGATACCCTTTGAATTTGTCTCAGGTTACATCCTTGACAACGACGGGAAGTGCAAATTAGACTGTGGACCTTTACACTGAGAGACGCCTGTTCGAAACGACAATCTTTGACAGAGGATATACGGTATTATCTGTAAAGACATGACATCGGAAGAGGAGATACATTGATCAATTTGTCCTATTCTGACCTTGTCTCTGGCTACGGCCTTGGTAGCACCATCCATCCAGTCGAGTTCGTCGAGTAATGATTTGAAGGAGGCTCGCAGGTTAGTAATCATCTCGTCCGCCTGAAGACAGATTTATTCGAAATAATTGTATAAACACTGAGACAGGAAGTTTTAATTCAATCATTTCCCGTTCGCGGAAAGCTTTGGCATAACCCTGTCTTTAAATCCTCCCACACAACAGATAAAATGAGCTTAGACACTGAGTGTTATTATCAACAAATCAAGGCATTCGATTGAATGGTTGTAAACACGATAAATTGACGTATAAATTAATTTTAAACGGTTTGAAAACGCCTGTTTCCATGGGCAATGGGTATTACTGACGTTCGTTTTGGATGCTTCGTCGAATGTGGCATCCACGAACATCCTGCCCACAGCCCGGCCAACGTTGTTGACAACATAAGCTGCACAAGTACGGAACCGCGCCCTCGACGTCGACGTTCCATAGATGACCTGTGGAATAGTGAGTGAGTGAGTGAGTAAGTAAGTATGGTTATACGCTGCTTTTAGCAATATTACAGCAATATCACCGCAGGGGACACCAGAAATGGGCTTCACACATTGTACTCATGTGGGGTGTCGAACTCGGGTCTTCGGCGTGACGGGCGTACGCTTTAACCACTAGGCTACCCCACCGCCCCCTGAAGAAGCGACTGTAGTGTTAATTCTGTGTGGAAGTTAAACTATAGTTGTGATCCAAATATTTTTTAGCAAGAAATAAAAACTCTCCCGAAAAGTAGTCCATGAACCACAATATTTCCCTTTCCACCCAACCCTTACACTACTGCAAATGCCGTTAATTAAGTAAGTCTAGATTTCGTAAATGTGAATCTGACACCTCACTGGGGCTTCTTTCAGTTTAATGGAGTTCTTTGCTTCCATCAAAAATGTATGTTTTCAGAGTGAGTGAGTTTAGTTTTACGCCGCACTCAGCAATAATCCAGCTATATGGCGGCGGTCTGTAAATAATCGAGTCTGGACCAAACAGTCCAGTGATCAACACCATGAGCATCGATTTGCGCAATTGGGAACCGATGACTTGTGTCAACCAAATCAGCCAGCCTGACCACCCGATCCCGTTAGTCGTTTCTTACGACAAGCATGGGTTACTGAAGATCAGTTCTAACCCGGACCTTCACGGGTGTATGTTTTCAGAGAATAGGCAGTTTTCAATCAAACTTTGGGCCAAAACTTAATGGTAGAACTTTGCTGTAACGAATGATGTAAATTAGCGTTTCAAAGCATCAGTTCAATGGCAAACTTACCTCGTCATACTCCTGGAAGAAATCGCGGTATTTCTCGTTCAGATTGTGAGCTCGGTTCATCATTATACGCCATACAATGTAGTTGGCTAGTGTCCTGCAAAAAAATTAAAATGCACAATAAATGGTAATCAAATTAAACTAAATATTAACCATAATCCTAATTTTAATGCGAAGATTATGTTTATAATAACACAAGCTGGGAGTTACAATTTGGACCCGTGAAAATCCGGGTTAGAATTGATCTATAGCAACACATGCTTGTCGTAAGAGTGAGTGAGTGAGTATGGTTTTACGCCACTTTTAGCAATATCCTAGCAATATCACGGCTGGGGACACCAGAAATGGGCTTCACACATTGTGCCCATGCTTGTCGTAAGAGGCGACTAACGGTATCGGGTGGTCAGACTCGTTGGTGGACACATGTCATCGTATCCCTATTGCGTAGATCGATGCTCATGCTGTTGAGCACTGGGTTGTATGGTCCAGACTCGATTTTTTACAGACCGCACCCATGTAGCTGGAATATTGCTGAGTGCGGTGTTAAACATACCAACACTGTTACATCTCAAATGAATGCAGAAAGGGAATTCATTTGTGCCGAATGTTTGTCACGTGTTACGTTCGGTCTTCCAGACCCTGGGTATTGAACGCTGTTTTCCTTTAACGCAGGACTCGCGATCTCACACTCATGCACATGTACAGACTCACCTGTTGGACGTTGTCTCAAGCAATTCCATTAGTTTCTCGAAGTACCTCGGCGACCTGTTGATGACTGGTTCTCCCTCTTTTACCTCCAGTTCCACCTCCGTCATGTTCATCAGTTCTTGGAAATACCGCAACCAGTCGAACTAAAAATGAATTCCAAGTTCACGATTTGATTCCAAAGAGCCCAGAGATATAACGATCTTGGTAGTTTCATATCCACTGAATGCGTGAATTGCAAATTCTCGAGGATACAATATACTAATATATGTTTAAGATAGAACGGACTGGCATCTCCATATTCTTGGTCCCCCGTCACCATACGCGTGTTGTTGGGTTTCGTGGTGCCCCACAACCACGGTCTGTTTTTCAAAATCATCAAGCTAACACACAGCGATGCAAGTGCGGTTATGTTCCCATCCGCCCAGCCCTTAATATGCTGTTGACCTAAATGAGCAAGTGCAGGTTTTCCACGGGTTCACATCTCAGGTTCTGAAGCTCCCATCTCAGTGGGCCCTTTTCAATATAAATGAAGTTTACTATCAAAACTTTATATTTTCGACGAGGCGTTAGACTTGTACAAATGAAATACTTTAAAATGCGTTCACTTTCATTCGCTACAATCTGTAGTGGTATTCCCCCCTAAGAACCTCTAGGAGTCCATCCCAATGTATGTCCATACCGCTCTTCTTCAGGTCCTTTGGGTACCGACCGCCTCCGTGGTGTAGTGGTTAGAGCGTCCGCCCGGAGAGCGGAAGGTCGCGGTTTCGATCCCCGACCGCGTCATACCAAAAGAATTTAGAATATGGTACTTGTTGGTCCCTGCCTGGCGCTCGGCATTAATGGGTACAACAAGGACTGGTTGGCTCGGAGTCAGTATACTGTGTCTGAGTGGGGTATTCATGCTTCACTGCGGCATGGTATCTCAGTGGGCTAGCACTATAAAACCAGCTTCAGTCTGGGCTAGTACAAGCAGCTGCACCCACATACGCATGCACGTCGTCATATGAACGAAATATTCTCAAGCACGACGTAAAAACCCAATTTCACCTCACCTCACCTTCGGGTACCCATTAGACAACTTGGTAGACTGGTACAGTGACTATAAACATCAACACCTTCAACACCATTCAAAGCGATGCCTGGTTAGTTAACACCTTGTTTGGGGCAATAGGTTAGCCTAGTGGTTAAAGCGTTCCCTCGTCACGCCGAAGACCCGAGTTCGATTCCCCACATAGGTGCAATGTGTGAAGACAATTTTTACGTCCCCCGCTGTGATATTGCTGGAATATTGCTGAAAGCGGCGTTATACCGTACTCAATCACCCACTAACACCCCGTTTATGTAGACTTTTGTTTTGAATTATAAGAAACTTGTTTAGTACCTTGGGGTAGCTGGTTGCTAGCTGAGAGATGTTGTACATGTTGTACAAGTCCTCGCTGTCACGCCGCTCCTCCGCAGGTACTGAGATCTGTAGAGTTAAAACAATACAACCATGATGACACGAACTCTATTGAGCCTCGAAGATAATCGTTTCTAGACCAAACAATCCTGTGATTTGCATCATGACCATCGATACGATAGCTTTGATACGGTGATAAGCATTCACCAAGTCAGCGAGCCTGACCACCCGATCCCGTAAGTTGCCTCTTACGACATGAGTAGGTTACTAAAGATCAATTTAACCGGGATGCTCACAGGTTCGATGAGCGTATAGTTGAAAGGTGTAGCTTCAAAGTCCTTGAAGGGTGGTGGGGTAGCCTAGAGATTAAGATCAGGGTTCGAATCCCCACATGGGTAAAATGTGTGAAGTCCCTTTCTGGTGTCCCCCGCCGTGATATTGCTGGAATAATGTTAAAAGCGGCGTAAAAACATACTCAGTCGCTCACTTTGACTTTGTAACTTAATGTGAAATATACTCACGAAGTTATTTCATATAAGGAAATCCGGTCATTGCATGCATTGTCTACTGTTTTTGCGTTTCATAGGTGTAAAATCCGGCATTTGGTGCCGTGTTTGTTTGTGGTACTCACATTGGCCAACATTATCTCGAAGTCCACGATGTCCTTCACGTCCGCGGCGACGTCCGCGACGTGGTTACCCAGTTCTGAGGCAATGTTGATGATGAGTTTCTCGTACGCCAACAACATGACGTCATCGCGACCTCGCTGGTAGTACTTCTGTCCCAGCATTCCAAAGTCTGCCTGGTCAACCTGTCACGGAAACGAAGGAGTATCGGATGGTAACAATGGTGGACACTGTGGACAGTTCTTGTGAGTGTTTTACGCCGCTGCAACAGGGTTTGTTGTATGCTTTAAAGGATATTGCAGTTGTACCATGGGTGTAAGTGATTTTGTGTCTGTGCGTTCGTGTGTGCGGGGGTCAGGTGAGTTGGGACACTTGGATCCCTGCTTAATTTCTGTGCGAATTTGTGCGCGAGTGAGTCTCTGTGTGTTTGTTCACACGCGTCTGTGTGTGTTTGTGTGTTTGAGAGTGTATGTGTTTTGAGTGTGAGGATGTGTGTTTGTGTATGTTAATCTGTGTTCGTGCGCACGCCCGAGTGAGTGCGATTGAGTGCGTGCCTCAGGAAATACGGGTCAGTGAGATTCACCATTTTTCCAGATATCATTCCAAATAGGAAAACAGTTCGGTAACTATAAGATTCGTAAAAACCAGGACTTACGTAAAGAATTCGGCGAGAAGAGTTCTTGAGGTCGGTGCCGACGCTCATGCTGATGATGGGGGCGTTGTTGTACCTCCGTAGGTGGATGAGTAACCCCTCCAGGTCGAAGTCGTCCACCTTCCACGACGAGTTAATCATTGGCCAGCCCCCCAGGGTCACAAGGAACTGCACCGCGGGGTCGGCACCTCTCTCTTCCAACCGCGCTGTGGACAGTACGCAACATGTCGTGTGTGGCGGTGAAGATGGCGGGGGTACAAATATTGATGATAATGACGTGATAGTTTTCACAGAAACGACATAAAGGGAGGGGGTGGAGTGGTGGTGATGATTTTAAGGCGGCTCACCCATTTTGTACGGGGGGGCAGGGTGTCAGCAATTTTGTTAAATATTATGCTTAATAATTATGGGAAGGGAGGGGGGTCATTGATTTTGTACATGGCATGCAGGGCGGGGTCACTTACTTTGTACATAAGCTTTATGGGGGGCGATTCACAATGTACATGCTCGTCCATAAAAATCATCACCACTCCTACCCCCGCCATAAACTAACTGACTAACTGAAGTAGATAGCGATGATGATGATGATGATGATGACTGAGTGAAGTTTAAGGTTGGTTGAAGTCCGCTTTGACGTTACTTTTCCAGTTTTACCACGGAGTTTTCGGTCCCTTTAGAAAGCAATGTGACTGGCCAAATTCAGCAAAAACACGGTAAATATGCGGACGTCGCTTTTGAAATGTGACGCTTTCATCCCAAAGTACACTGTCGTCAAGCTTTCCATTATTCTTGGTGCCCTTGGTTGGTTCCTCCTGATGCAGACCAGAAGGTCCGTGTACTCCATCGGTAGCACAACCCTTCTGACACAGCTGAGGGCTGCAGTGTTAGCTAGTCTAATCTTCTCCTGAAAGTTCTTGGTGGGTTCGACAAGGCAGCGCTTCCATGGAGAAGACTCCTTTCGCTGTCTGGGCAGCGTGTAGAGGGGGCAAGGGCCCTGACGTGATGATTGTTCAATCAACAAGGATCAACCGAATTCTCCTTGCTGCATTTACGTATTTGTTTATTTATTTACATCTGTAAAGCATAATAGCAATAACAAATAATGGCAATGACTATTCGAACCGGATGTCATAACTTGTTGAAGGATCGTAGCTCAGCACAGCAAATTGGGGCGACTTGGCTACCCGTGGCCCCTGACAACTACGACAACGATGAGGATGAGGATGTCGGCTGGTGAAGAAGAGCTATGTAAAATTATACTTACTTTCGTTGATACAGGAAGCATAGAGAGCCTTCACCTTCTTCACTGAATCAATTTCATTCTCTCTCTCAGTCTCCAGCAGATCTGCAACCAACAAGTAGGAGCAATGACAACAACACCTAACTTTAAACATTGTAAATACCACTGACTGGTTGGTCCAGCCGTCGGTGCCATGCTCGGTATGGAACTGGTCCTGGTTTGGTGCTTAATTGGGATGGGATAGCCTAGTGGTTAAAGCGTTTGCTCGTCACGCGTTCGATTCCCAACATGGGTACAATGTGTGAAGTCCATTTCTGGTGTCCTCCCCCGTGATATTGCTGGAACATTCACACACACACACACACACACACACACACACACACACACACATAGCGCCGATATCCAGTACAACTGCTCAAAGGCGCATTGATTTTCCCTCGATCATTGGATGTCCATCACAACGGCATATCGTATTTTCAATCTCAACTCCCTGGGGAGTATACAACTCTTGCCGCCTACTAGGCGCACCGAGTTAATGTGGCTTTCCCATTCTTACGAGGTACCCATTCACAGCTGGGTGGACTGGGACACATAGTCACAGTACTTTGTCCAAGTTTACTGCACGTTGCTGTACCCGCAACTAGGTGTTTGCACGTATTCATGTGGCCACTATCTGGTCATATACCAACGGTTCTTTTCAGTGAACAGGGTTGTGTACTGTACACTAGGGGTTGTGACAACACTCTAAGAGTCTGCACACAAAGTTGACTCCAAGGTTTTTACACCCGGTCACATGTGGGCTCGATCCCGGCACCTCCAAGCTCGCTGGATTGCTAGCCTGGCGCCTTGGACAGCTCTCCCACCGCGCCCCCCAAAAACGACGTAAAACCTTACTCACTCACTCATTCACTCACCTACTGGTGAAACACTGACAAACAGGGGTTATGTTGGATAAAAGAGAGATATATTTAAAATTTTATTCAATTTACGTTTTGATTCTTATAAATTAGTGAGGAGCCTTACCATAGACACGATCGTCCATTTCTTTTGAAAATAAAACTCTGAGGTGACTGGCAACCATTAGAATCGGACACTTTTTTTTACCTCGCTTGCTTAATTCCGGTTACGGAAAGAGGCGAGGTTTGCCAAATGTAATATGCCGACTTCACCACTTCTCTTAAACACTAGTCTGTCTCACAGTCCCTGAACCACATTATTTTACCTTCCGCCCAGCCCTTTCTGTAATACTAAGCCCAAAATGAAGCAAGTCTAGATTTCCTCAGGCATCTGAATCTCCCAACTATTGGGCTCCTTTTCAATTTAAATGGAATTATTTGTTTCTATAAGAAAATATATATATTCAGAGATAAAGCTTAAGTCTACTTAACCACTGTCAACTGCTGTCGCGTGTTTACGACATATCAAAGAAGTTTTAAAAGGTCGGCAATATTCAAGACACGTACATAACGGCGGCCTTTAAATAATGGCGTCTGAATCAGACAAACCATCTGCAACACCCCAAGCCCCAAGGTACGACGTCACCGATTGGCCAAATCATTCCTTTTGATCACCTGGTCATCACCACGCATGAGTCACAGGGGGTTAAGAAGAATCTTAAAGATACGACTGTCAGTTCTCATTGTACAGGTCGTGAATGAGGTATTTGCGAAGGAAAGTTACGCTTTTATTATAACGCTGTACCGTATAATCCTAAATACACGACAGTAGAGACCCCCTACACTACAACATGGTTGTCCGAGATTTACATTTCAAAATAGTATGTACTTTCTTTAAATGACGGGTAGTTAGATAGCTTCGTGGTTCCCCGCATGGTACAATGTGTGAAGTCCCTTTCTGGTGTTCCCCGAACTGACATTGCTGGATATTGCCAAACCCGGTGTAAATCTATACTCAATCCTCACTTTGACCATTTAACGATATTCTTGTGATCCAGATCAGAACGCTCAAACATTGCCGTTGTTTTAATACGGAAATACAATCAAACATCGTTCTGTCTAAGATGTGAAGCGAGCCAAGTATTTGCTTCTGTTATCTGAGGTTCGACACTTCCGAAATAGTATGAGTAAGTTATCAACACGAAGGGAGAAAGTGTATGACTGTAATTTTCATCGTCCCCATTGTCACGCGGAAGTAGCCTAGTTGGGTAGCGTTTCGTCACGCCAAAGACGCGGGTTCGATTCCCCAAAGGAGTACAATGTGTAAAGTCCTCCGCTGCAATATTGCCGGTATGTTGGTAAAAGCGTCGTAAAACCATACTCACTCACTCATTCACGCACCTCCTGACTGAGAAACGGGTCATATTGTTTGAAGAAGCGATCGTACGAACACGACAGTGGTAATTCTGTAAGGAAGTTTAACAGTTGTAGGGTTACGGTCGCTTGTGAAGCGGAGCCGAGGACTTCGAGACAACGAAGTTTCTGTGTGTTTTTCATACTTTTTAGCGTGACTAAAACTTCGTCCTGGAGAACGCCAAACATGTCGAGGGACGACCTGTCTTCGGGGATGACGTTCTTCTTCATCCACGAGCCACAGGCGAAGTCGTAGAAATTGTCACATGGGTTCACAGATGCGTCCATCACCGAGCTCAGGCGGGAAGCTGAAACAGGCGTTTGGACATGTATATACCGACACCCTTGTATTAATGGGCCACCATTAGTAGTCACTTCGGTATCATCAGAGGTGAGGTGAGGTGAAATTGGGTTTAACGTCGTGTTTGAGAATATTTCGCTCATATGACGACGTGCATGCGTGTGTATGTGTAGGTGCGGCTGCTTGTACTAGCCCAGACTTAAGCTGGTTTTATAGTGCTAGCCCACTGAGATACCATGCCGCAGTGAAGCATGAATACCCGACTCAGACACAGTAAACTGACTCCGAGCCGACCAGTCCTTGTTGTACCCATTAATGCCGAGCGCCAGGCAGGGACCAACAAGTACCATATTTTAACGTCTTTTGGTATGACGAGGTCGGGGATCGAACCCGTGACCTTCCGCTCTCCGGGCGGACGCTCTAACCACTACACCACGGAGGCGGTCCGATATCATCAGAACACATAACTGATGAAAAATGATTGTTTGAGCATCGAACACACACCACGAAACCTTGATTTGGGTCTTACTTCCTTTAACTTCAAACATCTGTAATATTCAAATTTCCTTTGGAATGCTGTATATACTTTTCTGAATAATATTCTGAATTGCACAGAGAAAAATACAGTCTACATTGGAACACTATACTAGTGATATTCTCATGTGAGGTTCAGGGGCCCTATTAAGGAGGTACGAATGCTACCAGAACAGTTAAGAGATCTTAGACTTCCGAGACCTTTGTGAAACGGGGCCCTGGTCATTAATTAAATAAAAGAATTTGTTAGCCAATCGCAACTTAACCCTTTTTGTAAGGCCTGCTGTGTTAACACCCATTTGTATGTGGTTTAAACATATTTTTATTTCGCCAAATCAGAAACCTGGATAGGCGAACAAGCCTAGTGGCTTATATAAACGCCGCTCCAGTTCATTGTTCAAAATTAATAGCTGGATACATAAATGAAATAATTTGACAACAAAAGAATAATACCATAACAGATAGATGATTGAGTAACAAATATGTTTGTTGTGATGTTGGTTATGCCTAGCAACGAAATGGGGTGCCGCAGAAAATCACGTTATATGAAATTTGTCTTACACTGATTATATATGCTGAGGGGATAAAATTTGTATGTGAACATTGTCATTGATTGTTTGAACTCAGAATTGTTGCTCATTCGCTACTCATTAATGAATCCACCCCTGCTCGTAACCTGATTTGCTGGAATAAATTTTAAAAAAATTAAATAATAGAACCAGATAACTCATTTCTTTCTTGTGGACAAGATGTATTACTCTGCTTTTCGACATAACACCAAAGTCGCAATGACGCTGGGCTTAAAGAGATAAGCAGCTTCATGTTAATGAGATGCTATAGCCGATCTATCTTTATTGACGCACTGAGTTCTCTCACCTGCCATTACGCATTCCTCTGTTGTGCACACATCTGCAATAACAAGACGATAAGTTCAATAACACAACACAGTCATAATGTTCACGCATCTGCAATAAGACGATTGGTTCAATTACACAACACAGTCATAATGTGCACACATCTGCAATAACAAGACGATAAGTTCAATAACACAACACAGTCATAATGTTCACGCATCTGCAATAAGACGATTGGTTCAACAACACAACACAGTCATAATGTTCACGCATCTGCAATAACAAGACGATAAGTTCAATAACACAACACAGTCATAATGTTCACGCATCTGCAATAACAAGACGATTGGTTCAATAACGTAACACAGTGACAACGTTCACACATATGCAAGGATAGGTTAATATGTTCAATAACACAACAGTCATAATCTTCACGACGTTACGTCCAATAACACAACAGTCGTTATGTTCATGTGTTTGCATTCATAGGTTATTGTGTTCAATAACACAACAATCGCAATGTTGATAGGTCTGTCACCTTGCGCCACCACAACTTCGATTCAGATATGACGTCACAATCTCCACTGCTGCTGTCTCCAACTTAGCACAGAACCGCTCTCGCGCATTGGAGTAATATGATTGGAGGGTTATTTTCTGCGAAGTGATATTCGAACGGATACATACTCAATCATATTGCAAACCCGACGCTTGTTACATTAAATACGACAATGTAAAATGTGTTTGCAATATTATTTGTAATGCTGCTGACATCCAGGTGTGAGTGAGTGAGTGAGTTTAGTTTTCGCCGCACTCAACAATATTCCTTCTATATGGCGGTGGTCTGTGTAAAGAATCGAGTCTGGACCAGACAATCCAGTGATCAACAACATGCGCATCGACTTATCAAAATGGGATACGATGACTTGTCAACCAAAACAGCGAACCTGACAACCCGTTCCCGTTAGTTGCCTCTTACAACAAGCATGGGTTGCACGAGACCAATTCCAACCCGAATCTTCACGGGTCCGAAGTAATGGAGTTGGGTCAAGGGTATTTGTCATAGTAGAACGGATGCATGCCCAGTCATATTACAAACTTGGCGCTTGTTAAATTGAATACGACGATGATGGTTGTGTTTACAGCCGACGAAAAGTGGAATGTGACATCATTTTGCTGGAAAAATAGATTACCCTCCCGCGCGAACTTCACTCTGACAAAACTGTTGTTGTCCAGAAGAAGTCAATAATAAAAGGCGGCCGTGACTTCAACAGAACGTCTCTTCAATACACGAGAACCTGGCGGAACATTCTAACCGGAAGTCGTCGCCATTGATCAACGAGTGTTTGCAGGGTCTGGCTTGATTCACCTGCTGTTGCACTCATCTTCCCGAATGTGTTCAATCGAGTCTGCACGGGGAACAGGAAAGTCAGTCTATGACATCGTTCCCGGCGTTAGTATGGGACATGGACAGAGCCTAGCCGTGTTACAATGTCAGTCCAGTACTGGGGCGGTGGGGTAGCCTAGTGGTTAAAGCGCGCTTGTCATGTCCAAGACCCGGGTTCGTTCCCCATATGGGTTCAATGTGTGAAGCCCATTTCTGGTGTCCCCCGTGGTGATATTGCTTGAATATTGCTAAAAGAGGCGTGAAACTAAACTCACTCACTCACCATAAAGCTGCATGGATGGCGTAACTACTGGGGTCAAAATTTGGTCCCCATACAGTATGAAAGTAAGATTCCCTGGACGGCAATCAATTAAGATCGACTGTTAGAACAATATCCTCCTCTCACTTTTACGCTCCCTGCTTCAACTCGGTGAACGGAAAATAACATGGGATGTGACGTTCCCCATCTTGCGCCACAGGCAAAACGCAATGCGCAGTGTGAAGCGTGAAATCGTCACTGAGGACAATCCTGTTCCATTGCCTCTGGTTGAATCGGGCATGCCTACGGACCCATGCGTCAAGATGGGTCCTGTATACGGTTGTCTTTTTGTCTTTTCGTGGAGGCTGCTGTCACAAATATGTTACGGAGATGACCTACGGTGCATGCCAACTATTTTATAAACTTGCAATTTTTATATTCCTGTTTAGCAATCATGTGCTTGAATTCCAATGCACGTGCGATCGTTTACGTGACCACGTGACTCGATGCACGTGATTGTTAGGTTTCACGCTTTTTTAACGGTTCATGGCCAATTTTGTTTTCACATCAGCGGCCAAGACGTTGGTCAAACAGCCAACATGTCATTGCGTGGTACAGCAGGAAATTACCCCCTCACTCTTATTTCCCAAAATGTGGGTGTCGTGTTTCTAATTTTGTTGAGTATATAATGCTCAGGACAATCGGTCGGTCAATATTCGGCCAGGAACAACGTGTATATTTAAGTATATGTTGCTTTCTTGTTTCTAGAATGAAATGTCATTGAGTTAAAATGTTGGTTGTCTTTTCTAAAATTAATCATGCTTCCAGGCATAGTTACAATCTACAAAATAGTCCAGATTGTAATTCAATAAAATATACACCCGACGGGCAAATTGGAGTGATTTGCGAACATGTTCTATTTTGACAAGTGAAAATGACCCTTTCCTTGCCGCAAGATCATATTTTAAACTCTGGGGCATTTTTACCACAAATAATAACACAATGTTCAAGAGAGTAATAATTTTGAAAAGAAAACATGCCTTGCAACTACAACTAAAATCGGTAAAACTATGTTTTTTCATGCAATAATATATCATTACAATGTTGATAAACTGTCCTTAATGGTTTACCGTTACACCATAAACTCATCTGCACTAGGGAAAGCCTGTCATTAGTTTCAAGTCCGAGATACATTACAGCACTATATTCATCACTGTGTCTGACTTCCCAGACACCGTGACAAGAGGCAATATCTCACAGTTTGAGTTATAACTGTATTGTCCGCTAAAATATGATATACCGCATAACAATGCTTAAACGATAGCGAATTAGCTTTCTATACACTCTGACTGTAAAATTGGTAAAACGTAAAACTAACTGAAGAAAACTACTGCAAGATTGGTCGAAAGTAAAACAAATAGGAAAACTGCAAGATTGGTAAAAAGTAAAACAAATAGAAGAAGAATATTGCAAGATTCTTAAACAGTAAAACAAATAGAAGAATACTGCAAGACTGTTAAAAAGTAAAACAAATAGAGGAAGAATATAGCAATATTGGTTAAGAGCGAAACAAATAGAATAATAAAAATAATAATGCAAAATTGGTAAAGAGTAAAACAAACAGAAGAAAACTACTGCAATATTCTTAAACCTTAAAACAACTCGGAGATCCATTAAAGGCTCCTGGGAGCCAGTGTGTGTCTCTTGAGGGAATGGAAGATTAAAGCACCGAGCATAAGGCGAGCGACCTGTATGTCTAATTTCCTTTTATTCTCCATAATAAAATCTTCTTCCTTGGTGATAAGTTGAGAGTTCTTACTTTCTAAACATCGGAAAGGTCATGAGGGTAGATCAAAGAAAAAATACCATTCACTCTGAACGATAATCGTGGTTTTCAACAAGACATTATGAATATCCTCTATTCATCATATATTTGGCTGATAAATTGTTTTATTATCCAACACCGTCTCTCGCAGGAACCATCGTTTGTATAAGATCAATCCGTGGCTCCGGAGGGCATACAGTGTCTTTAATCACTGCTGTGAAGATCCGCATTGGAATTTGTCTTCACGGAGCGACCCGTCTCTGTCCTCAGAGGGACCAGTGCAGCAAGGTGGTAAGTGGCGGAACTTGGTGGTGAGGCTCTCTGAGTTGGTTGACGCTTGTCACCTTATACCGATTTCAAAAGTGGATGCATACTACTACTACTACTACTACTACTACTACTACTACTACTACTACTATTACTATATTTAATAAGGGCATTTGTAATGCGCTGACTTCCGCACCACGAAGGGGCCAAGGCGCTTCAATCTGATTATTATAACCCCGGATAACCCAAGCTGTCTGTGAGGCGCTAGAATGCTAATAGTCACTTACCCCACCGGGTACCCATTTTCTGCTGGGTGACCAGAGGCAGTTTTGAACAAATTCACTTGCCTAAGGCGAGATCAAATGTATAACATGTGCTTCGTTTTGGGGCAGGACTGAATTCCAAGAAACTCTCAGGAGTCAAGCTGCCAAACACTTTTACCCAACTTAAACTGACATGTGGCCTGAGCTCTATGCACAGGACCACATACCACCTATACACCAATCACTGAATTGTCTAGTCCAGTCTTTGATATTTAAAGACCGCCGTCATACAGCTGGAGTATTGCTGTGCGTGGAGTTAAACAACAAACTAAACGTTACAGGGTGTATACATTTCAAAATCTGAGCCACTTTTGTCGTCCCGGCAGTATATTGTGAGCACATCGCCTGCACTTTATCCTGAATCAACATTTCAGCTCTATTTTTGCCCGTAATTTACGGTGTTTCCCATTTCCCTTTCGCCCGCCCTGAATTTTCATTCCGACGTGAAACAACAAAACGTTTTCTTATCTCATTTTTTCTCGCTGTTGTGGACATTTGTGCTTTTTGTGATAAAGCAATTCTCTTTTCCTTGCACGCTCATGAAAAACATATTTCTTCATCTATATTTACGAAAACAGTGTTTTAAAGCCTTATTTCAACAAACCAAAAATGTATAATTTCATAAAATATGTTACACAATTGGTGAAAAAAATGTTCATATTTTTTTTTCCTTTTTAAAAAAATTAATTAAGCCATTCATTCATTCATTCATTTTGCACTCCGCGCAATAATCCATAAACTCAGTTACTAGCCCACAAAAATAATTCACGAGCCCGAAATTTGAATGTGGACATGGCTTTCATCATGAAGCTGCTAATATGATGAACATGTTTATCAGGCCTTAATCTTGCATGATTTAAAAGGGTATTATAACTTAACAAGTCGGAGAGGGTGATATATTTACAAAATGATCTCATGAAAATTCACTAGCCAGTCGGGCCAGTGACAGTGGAAATTTACTGGCCCGACTGGATATTTACTAGTCACGGGATAGCAGGCCAGTGGCTATTCCGCACACTGTGACCATACATAGGAAGTCATTTCATTATCGAAATGTCCGTCTTTAGTAAACTCTGCATTGCTTCCTCGCAAAATCAAACTATTGAAACATTCTCGATCAGACGAGCTTTTATGTTCCGTAATGATTAAACAGTCACGACGATTCAACTTAATGATCATGATCCGGCACCGTTTGTTTCGAACTAAGGTTGACTCAGGGCATCTTCAATAGCCTCGTGGTATCCTTCCAAAAAGCTGTTTTACATCTGAGATTAATGCCACTTTCATACAATGAAATGGAATGGAAGTGCCATACTAAACCCCGACAGTCAAAGAGCTAATTGATACTGTTATTATTACAGAAATACGTCAGTCGTATCGCCAAGAAACATTGCTCTGAGAAACAGGGCCCCGTTTGTCAAAGCCATCTTTGTGCTACTGTAATTTAACATGCTCGTATGACCAAGATGCCTTTGCTTTGAAATATAGCATCCCATTTCAGAAACCGTGCGGTGACGTTCGTAATGCCTGCACCTTGACCATTTTGGAATATTCCCGAACTTACTCTGTAGTTCTTCCGTCTTCTCGTAATATACGACAAAGGCGACGAGGAAGGTTATGGCGGCCAGAAGCAAGATGGCGGATACGATCATCAAACATTTCTCTAGAGTCGAGCGCTTGGTCTTTGTGAATCTGAAACAGTAAACGAACATTTCTTGTGATAGACGGAAACAATTGCAACAATTGTTGTAACGTGCCTATTCGGTCACTTTCGTTGTCTCACGAAATCTTTGTCATGACAGTACGAACAACATGGCGTCTGCCCGCAATCTTCGAACACCGAGGTGAATTTGTTTGTTGTTTAACACCGCACTCAGTAATTTGCCAGATTTGTTTGGCGGTTTTTTAAATAATGCAGTGATTGACATCATGAGCGTCGATCTACGCAATTTTGGTACGAAGACATGCATCAACTAAGTCAACAAACTTGAACTTCACGACAAGCATGGCTTACTGACTCGACCCAGAATTGAATATTTACAGGTGACGTCACGTACTAGGAACATCAATTGGCAACATTCCAATAAATAATGTGATGCTCAAATGAGCATGGCCAACTGTTGCTTCAATATATAACATAGTTTGAACCCAAGCTTTAGGGATAAATGGTTTTAATTTTTGAAATGATCATATCAACTGGGTTGAAACCTCTTCTATTTTCTGTCTGAAGGACTGGAGAAATTTCGTCGGAGAAAATCATTTTGCTCAATTTTTCTAATCAGGCAGGTTTCATCTGATCCTCCCCGTCGCAACGTTTTTTAATTCCTCAACACTCGGTTATTTCCGTAAAACACCAGAAAGTCCTTGGTCAACGATTTGGACACGAATGGAATCATTTTTACTGACAGCGAGAATAAAATTCCCGTTGTGCATGTAAATGTATGCATGATAACATGCAACATTTGAGCAGAAGAGGATGGAGGTAATCTATTTGTATAAACCACCCATTCTTAATGTGCCAAACCAGTCATGTTTAAACATGCTTTCGCAACAAGGAAGAGCAATGTATAAATACAGATGGACTCTTTAACAGCTGCATATCTTTGCTTGATGTTTCTGCTGGCACATTTCTCTCATGTAAACAAGATATATTAGCACCACAGGAATTCACCATTTAAGAAAGTTTCTCATCCAAAACTGTGTTCCACTGGAGATATTGCTTGTGTGAGATCAAACGATATCTCCTAGGAAATATCGTTTTGACAGTATATTTTGTACAATGTCCTTACGTCATGTACATGACTCAACATGCTATAATTTCGTGCTTTCAAGTTTACACAGATTCCCGAACGTTGGTTGGTTGAGAGAGCGGTCATGTGATCTAAATTTCAAGGTTCATTACTCTTGAACCCCTCTAATCGTTCATACTTGTGTAAACACCGTTCATACGTGTGTGAACGTTTTTCGCTTCGGTTTCAAGGACCCCCAATAGTTTCAAGTCACCCCAAGTTAGGCAATGTCACTACCAAACGGATTGCCGAACATTGTTCCTTTTCACAGGAGTTTAATGTCTCGCAGTTTGCGGGTTCATCCGGCGGTTTTCTGCCCCGAGGTCTGTTTAACAACTGCTCAATAAATTTCACAATAAACAATCACAAATAAATAGAATACAACAAGATCTGTTTCCTATTCGCCACGCCGCACAACTTCGAAGTCGGTCAGTGTATTATTACGCGGTCAAACAAGGTATTTACAAGTGAAAAGGTACAATGCCAGTTTGTTAAAATGGTATTGTTATTGCTTCTGATATTTGTTTCTGTTTGATACTGTTATTGATTATACTTATTAAAGCAGTTTCAAACCTCATAACGAATTTGTTGTTATATTTTAAAGATCGAATACTTTGAGAACTATTTCTTCAAGGGTTGGGATACATGTGTAAAAGAAAAATCGCTGTGTATACAAACATCGCTGCAATACGTACGTTCTTGAACCGAATGGCATTACAACATTTTACAGGTATTAAAACACACTAAACAATGATCATCTACAAGTGGGTGGAAAACGTATGTGTATACTTCAAATTGCGAAATTATAAGAATTGAATGTCAGTTTGTGTGTTTGCACTGAAAAATGAACGATGTCAAAGCGTTGTTCAAACTCGCGCGTGAACTCGCTCGTAAACTCGCTCGTTCACACGAGTTTGAACACCGCTTTGACATCGTTCATTTTTCAGTGCAAACACACAAACTGACATTCAATTCTTAAATGACGTCAAAAACCTGACGAAGTCACAATGCTATAATTTCGTGCTTTCAAGTTTACACAGATTCCCGAACGTTGGTTGGTTGAGAGAGCGGTCATGTGATCTAAATTTCAAGGTTCATTACTCTTGAACCCCTCTAATCGTTCATACTTGTGTAAACACCGTTCATACGTGTGTGAACGTTTTTCGCTTCGGTTTCAAGGACCCCCAATAATTGGTGATACCAATTTCGCGAACGAACCTGTTTCAAGTCACCCCAAGTTTGGCAATGTCACGACCAAACGGACTGCCGAACATTGTTCCTTTTCACAGGAGTTTAATGTGTCGCAGTTTGCGGGTTCATCCGGCGGTTTTCTGCCCCGAGGTCTGTTTAACAACTGCTCAATAAATTTCACAATAAACAATCACAAATAAATAGAATACAACAAGATCTGTTTCCTATTCGCCACGCCGCACAACTTCGAAGTCGGTCAGTGTATTATTACGCGGTCAAACAAGGTATTTACAAGTGAAAAGGTACAATGCCAGTTTGTTAAAATGGTATTGTTATTGCTTCTGATATTTTTTCTGTTTGATACTGTTATTGATTATACTTATTAAAGCAGTTTCAAACCTCATAACGAATTTGTTGTTATATTTTAAAGATCGAATACTTTGAGAACTATTTCTTCAAGGGTTGGGATACATGTGTAAAAGAAAAATCGCTGTGTATACAAACATCGCTGCAATACGTACGTTCTTGAACCGAATGGCATTACAACATTTTACAGGTATTAAAACACACTAAACAATGATCATCTACAAGTGGGTGAAAAAAACGCGAAATTATAAGAATTAAACTTCAAAGTGAACGATGTCAAAGCGTTGTGCAAACTCGCTCGTTCACACGAGTTTGAACACCGCTTTGACATCGTTCATTTTTCAGTGCAAACACACAAACTGACATTCAATTCTTAAATGACATCGCTGCACTGCAAGTCTAATGGTAGTACAGTGTTGAGAGATGTACATTTTTCATTGGAAACTAACGAAGAGTGATTTTTTATGATAAATAAAATCTCACCCTCGTGTCTACTGATATCAATAGATTCTCTATGCATTAGAGGAACATGGTCACAGTGGCATTTTATAATGTCGACTATGGAATGTTTTGTTCATTTGTTGCTCAACACCGATCTCAGTAATGTTCCAGCTATATGGCAGCGGTCTGTAAATAGTCGAGTCTGGACCAGACGATACTGTGATTAGCAGCACGATACTCTTATAAGTTGGCATGTTTCAACTAGGAGTGGGTATTGCAGAGAATTTTCATATTGCGATATATTGCGATGCGAAAGCATATATTGCGATATGTATTGCAATATATTACAAGAATCTTTTTTAACAGAAAATTACTCATAATCGAGTTAATGCTTTATTATAAAGCAAAAACACAACAAATTCACAATGCTTGATTAAGCTTTAATACCAACTTTCACTCATGACAAAATAAAAAACGTGAATTTTTTCAACGCAAAACGCTGCCATGCTTAAACCATTGCCCTAGTATTTGTTCGTTGTTGGGTGTCACCATTTTGCAACAATCGCATGACTTCCGGTGTGAAAAACGGAAATATCCGAAGATTTCCGAGTGTTACAAATTTTTCCTAATGCATGTCAAAATACCGGTTTTCGATCAGCGTATCGCAATACGTATCGTTTTCATGTCTGAACCGGTAAATACCGGTAAACCGGTTATATTGCACAGCCCTAGATTCAACCACACCAACAGGCCTGACCACCCGATCCCCTTAGTTGACTGCTGAAGACCAATTCTAACACCGGTCTTCAAGAGCATGCCCATGCAATAGGTTTATGTTCACTATATTGAACCATGTCTGTGGTGTAGTGAAGGCGTCGATGGTTTGTTAGCTGACCCGCCTCACATCAATTATGCTAAACGAAGGTACTTGTTGAAGAATAATGACAGTTATTATGGATATACAACTTCTTTTATTCTGCGACGTTTTGACATAGATTCTAATGTCGTTGTCAAGCAAGTGATACATGAGTAACAAATTGAGAGAATATATACATGAGTTGTTGTTACAGTAGATAGGGAGTGAGTCTTTTTACAATAAATGAGGTTGATGTACAACGCTTGTATAAGAGATTGAGTTGATAGGAAACAAGTAGGGTGATACACAAGGACTGAATTAGACCTTATACAACTGATAGGAAGCCAGGTGGATGTTTATACAATGGATGGGGTTGATGTACATAGTTGAATTGAAACAGATAATGTACACAAGAAATATTATGATTACTTTATCAAGTGATGGTAGGTATTGGGAATGTAGTAGTTTGTCTGTAAATTCATTATATTCTACATAAAACAAATACAAATTTTAAACGAGGGTAAAACCTGTATATTAACTTATTTCCACAATATACGTCAGCAGTGCCTGTGTTTATCTTTAGATAAAGCTTCATTCAACAGCGGGCAGGTAGGACCCGTCGCCTAAAGCGCAGCAATTCGCTTTACAGAGTTGCGTCCCTTGGGCACGCCTGAATCTGTTATAGTGGGCTCGAATCCCGGTTTGCCTCGTATTATGTTTCTAATTCTGTCAGCACCATCACTGTGTTCGCGGGATTCCTCAAAGTGGTAAAGATCCAAGACCTGAATGTCTTCAGCCTTTTCTCCCCCACATGTCGTGATTTAACTGGCAATATTGATCAAAGCTCAATCACTTGACAAATTTCTTTTATAAAAAACATTGCTTCAGTGGATCAAATTAGTCTGAACGTCAGACTGAAATCCAGAATTAGAACATAATTTAAATTTCAGGGTTATTTTAGGTTTATTTTACTTTGCATCTTCACATCATAGAAGTGTCTGTGCGGCAACGTGTCAGCTGTGGATCTGCACTGGTGGAAACCCCGAGCT